TAACCCTTCTTTTGTCGTGTCTCGTATCTGGGGCGACGGCGAACCTGACCACGAGAGGCTAACCGCATTGCGACACACGATCACGACACACGATCACGACACACGATCGCGCTACATTCAAAGAACTCCTTGGAAAAAGGCTTCTCACTACAAATTGGTTTACAATATCGATAAATAGTTTGGTTTGTTCAATTTCCGGGATTCATTGGAATTCAACATAGGCAAATTTTAAACTAAATTTGCCTATGTTGAATTCCAATGAATCCCGGAAATTGAACAAACCAAAGTATTTATCTTCTAAATGGTCATAAAAAACTATTCTACAAATAACAACAATTTCAGTGAATAATTTATAATTCACTCGCAATGAAATATGTTGAAACAAAGACTAGGATTACTAATACTAAAAGCACGTGGACTACACACAAGTTGTTGTGATGATGACCATCTATTACAAAACACGGCCTTTCTAACACCTCTAACCTATTGTAAACATAAAAGCAAAACACTACGAGCCAAAAGCATGTACTCACATTGAAACTGTTGTGACTAGCAGAAGAAACGATAGACTGTCTGCTTGAAAACTGCGCTACATTTGAGAGGTGATGGCGCGAAATGGAACAATAGCGAACTGTACTATGGGAAAAGATTTTATATCTATTTACATCAAACATCTAAAAGTTGGATTAATGTCAATGGAACATATAATTTTAAATGATAAATAGATTAGAAAGATTTATAATTACGAAAATTGTGTATTTGTTCGTGAGGTGAAATTCATGTTTCCGACTACTTCCGGAAACTGCCGAAGATTACAACGCGAAAACAAGGGCAAAACAAATGTATATAGAAACTCCTTTACACAAGTATACTCAGGAAATAAAGCTAACATCCTTTGATGTTGTGCCTTGTGTTGTCTCAAGTCCACCCCCCTGGAGGTGTTACACGACTAGTTGCTTCCATCCCCAGTCGTTCCAATACAAGCTTCGACAGTGGGTGGACGTCTAGGACGTTACTGGAAAAACTGGGATATACTACGGGAGGCTTACTTAACTCAGGTCCTTCGCAAAGGGCCAACTGAAAGCCGCGCCTTCACTTACTACGCTTCTGCCTTTACTCACGTATCCCAAGCTTCAACTGTCTAAGCTGTCGGAAGCAATCAACACTCTACTCACCAAGGGTGCAGTGGAAGTATTGAATCAATACATGTTAAATCCAGGATACTATTTACTGATTTTTCTCATACCCAAGAAAAACTTGAAGGAGAAATTCCGTCTAATCTACAACAAACACAAGTTCAACTTAGATTATCTACTGAAGACAGACACATTCAAAATGGTACATTTTCCTGATCTCGGACATCTCATAAAACCGAACAGCTTTCTGGGCGATACCGATCTACAAGATGCCTATCTGCACATCCCTATTCACCCAGCCTCAAGGAAATACCCCAGATTCCTGTTTCAAGGGCGACACTGCCAATGGAGGGTCCTACCCTTTGGAATTTCTTCGGCCCCGTGGCTATTTACTCGTGTAAAGAAAACCATAGTAGCTGGTTATATATATATATATATATATATATATACTCATCAACAAGCAGAATACAATTGAACTTCATGATACATCTGTTCACCCAGCTGGGTTGGCTAGTCAATCTTATGAAATCAGGACTAAAACCCTCACAAAATTTCAAGTTTCTATGAATCAGATTCCTCACTGCTTAGAATTGTATCAAGGTTCCAGAGTACCTTTGGACCAAATTTCAAGCTTGTCTCCATCGCGTACTCAACTCACCGACATTAATCAGATCTTGGCAGAAGATCTTAGGCCTTCTCACGTCGGAACACGCACTCACAGTGCAGGGGCAGGCTCCAACTGAGGCCTATCCAACGTTTCATCAAACTGTGTCTCAATCGTCAGGATCTTAAAGTCTCTGCCCAACAACATCTCAAACCATACCTACTGTGGTGGACGGACAGATCTAATGTCTGCGGAGGAACCTTCTTACAAGAGCCAGCATACTCCTTACATCTCTACGTAGACGCCTCTCTCCAAGGATGGGGAGCGCACTAACAACTCAGAAGTCACGACAGGAACCTGGTTTGCAGAGGAAAGAGCTCTACACATAAATCTTCTAGAATTCAAGGCGGTCTTCAACTCTACACACCACAGGTCGCATCTCTTCATGAACCAATTCCTTATGATAAGCACGGACAGTAGTCTTCACATCAATCTACAAGGCACAATGAGGTTGGCACCTCTGTTCAATCCGTCTGTTGGCCTTCCGTCTATTCAACCTCGTAGACAGGCTCAATCTGTGGATAAATCATCATATCTCAGGAGCAACCAACGTCTTAGCCGACACGTTGTCCCAACCAGTACCACCGTCCCCCACGGAATGGATACTACACCCGGAAGCATTTCAACTTCTAACAAATGATGCCCTCTCATAGATCTCTTTGTGAATCGATTCAATCACCAGATAAGGACGTTCATCTCGCCGGTCCCAGATTCCCTAGCCTGGTATCTCTGTGCCCTAGTCATTCTGTGGGAGGAATTAGACGCATATGCGTTTCCACCATCTGTTCTGCTACCAAGTGGTCTGCACAAGATCGCTAAGGCCAAAGTCCTCCGACTGCATTTGGTTGCGCCCTACTGGCCTTCGAGAACGTGGTTCCCAGACCTAATAAAGCTCCTAGGAGAGCCAACAATTCAACTACCAGACTTGCCGACTCTACTTATACATCCGCACACAAGGCGACCTCATGCCAATCCACAAGGATTCCAATGATATGTATGTAGTGTATTACGCATTGCCTCACCAGGCGAGGCTCCTCTACTAAAAACGTCACCTCAGCACTCACACACTCAACTAGAAATCTCTATGATGATGAATGGAAGGAATTTTCAGCCATTTAATGCCTCACACCCTAAAGTTGAGGAATACTTATGTCACATGAGAGCTACTAGACACTTCAAAGGGTCTACTCTCTCTACCTACCTAGCAGCTATTAGCTCTGTTCTTAATATGAACACAGGAGGAAAGGTCACCAAGGTTCCCGAAATAGTCGTTTTATTTAGATCGTTTAAACTTGAAGATGCAGCATGGGATATTAATGTGGTTCTGCAACACCTTATCAGTGACGATTACAAGCCTCTGATGCAAGCCAGTGTTGACTTGATAACTAACTAGATACAGGCCTTAGACTACGGTCGAACTTCAATGGGACTTCAAAGAATGAACTACCAGGTCAACCGGACAGACCCTAACGACACACAATACTTATCATTGTGTCCAGTTAGGGCATTGAAGATCTACCTTAAAACAACTGCTACGAGAAGAAGAAAGTTCAAGCCTCTGTTCATCCCATAATCACCCGCTAAGTCTAAAGAAGCCTCCAGAACTACGATCTCCTGGATGAGAGCAGTCATCCTACGGGCGTACAAAGCAGCAGGGTTGGATCCACCTAGAGCCTCCACCCCACATGAAGTTAGAGCGTTAGCGTCAACCTTAGCACTACACGGCGACTGCTCTCTATCGTCCATCATGGAAAGCTGCTTTGTCTTCTCCAACCATTATCTCAGAGACATTGCCACTGAAGATGTATCCGGTATCCACCAGTTCGGCCCTCTTGTAGTGGCGCAGCAGCTGACAGTCCAAGCCACATGATAACCTTAATCACGTAGACTCGTAGACGTCAGGTTACTGTCCCATAACCACCATCAGAGAGTCCATGCTCCCCTGTCTTACAAGATAAGTCAGCGCATGAGTGATGCGATTCAGTTTTGACAGAAGCCCCTTTCTAAACATATGGGTCGTTTAAGATAGCAAGAATCAGGAATTCTTAGCATGTCTTCAAAATCCACAAAATCATAAGATATACTTCTTTTATTCAGTTAATTGAAGGTGGTTTCCCGGTTACCAGCCGCAGGATCAGAAGAACGAAGCAGAGTTCTGATCATGGGTATATGATCAAATATGATCATGGGTACATGATCACACTAGGACTGATCGAACAGTCACAGGGAATCCAGATAGGTGGCTGACCCACCACCTGTCCGTCGGATTCAAGCATTATGTATGACTCAGGATATGGAAAAATATGCAATTTTTATGATAAAATTGATAGTTTATACTTATCCGGATCCCGACTCCACTATCTGGCCTCCCTGTAAGCTAATAGTTGGGGCTGAATAGGAGAGAGTGACATTGAGGCCGCCAGTCACGTGTGACTATTGGCGGGAAGGAGGCAAGGAGCCCTGTTTAGTTGAGTAAACCTTTGACTGTTCTTGGGAACAGAAGGACAGAGGTTTCCGCTCAACCTTCGGAGGGAAGGGAGATAAAGCAATAAGTATGAGTCAGGATAAGTATAAAATATAAATTTTATCATAATAATTACGTTTTGCTTGGTACTCAACATGGACACATTTGGTGTTCCCGAGTGGAACCTGGAATAGGTCGGGATTGGTTGTTTTGGAAGCAAGCACTGTGTTACACCAGCTGCAGATCTACACACACGTGCTCGCGTGTACCATAAAATGATTAGCGTGCTCGTAAAAATGCAATCGACTTTGCTCCTCTTTGGAGGATATGAGATTTGAATACATACTCTATTTCGAAATACGAAATCCTTGGCTGAAGAACCTGCTTGCTGTCAAAACACCCATCGTTCATATATAATTATATAAACAATATTAAGAAATAGACAAAATACGGTAAATAACTTTGTTGTAAAACAAACAAAACAATTTTCAGTTTGTCGAATGAATTGTTCACGGTGTTGTAGATAACGATTTGAAATTATCAAAATAAATTTGATTCGTTTTAGAACGTAAAACAGACCCTGGGCGTTCTGTAGATCTTTAGCAAATCACCCGTGTTCTATTATCTGCCTATCTAATATCATATATCTATCCATATGTCCATCTGTCCATCTATCTATCTATCTACCTGTCTATCCATATCAATGTAAGTACAGATGTAAAGTACAATGTTTCAGTCTGAAGATCGTGTGGTTCGACCCAGCCTTCAATGGATACATCTCCCGTCTTACTGTGTGGAGAGGCATCCTAACCCACACTGATGTGACAAATGTGTTGGGGAACTTGAACTACCAGCCCACAGGTGACCTTGCCCTTGGGTGGAACCGCTACAAGATGGCGGGCGGAAGTAGAATATACGTCCCAAGCAAGGCTGGTACGGGTGTTACACTGTGCGAGCCGGGACGTGTCATGGCAGAAAACTGCACTGGGCAGCCAGGTTAGAAATGATGTGACAGCAAGCGAATTAATTTAGTGACGCTCCTGATCCAGTGATATATTGGCATGAACAAACTTTCAAGAAAATGCCTTGTGTACATAAATAGGGCTGCAACGTTTCCGTTCGATTCTTCGAAAATCGAATCTGACACCTTAGGTTCGATGTTCGATAACCATGATCACACTATTTCGATTCGATATTTGAATACTTATTCAAATTATTTCCATACAGCCAGAACGTACTTTTGTCTCCAACTCGAGCAGTTTCGAGCGCTGAAATAAGGCGAAACGTGATTGGTTAACGCCGGGCTAATTATCCAATGCAAATTGTTGTTGACGATGGATTTCACGCTAAAAAGGCTGACTCTCTTAAAGTCGAAAGCTCATGTGAAAGACCCGAGTGCTGCAACATGCTGTGTTTGTTTCGTGGACGTGAAATATAAAACGGAATCGACAACAAACTTGACCAGTGACTTAAATAGAAAACATAATGTAGACGTCACTGACAGTTCGGTGTCAAAAACTGAAACGAAAGTAGGCAAACCTGGCACAAGTGGGCATAGCGCTTGCTGAAACTTTGTGATGCTGTAAACAAATCTAAATTGAATGACACTCGGAAAAATGGCGATAACCAAGGCTATTGGTGGTTACCTGGCTCACGATATGCGCCCATATTCAACTGTTCAAGATGATGGTTTCAAATTTATAATCAGTGTTCTGGAGCCGAGATATAGTGTAGCCACTGCCTAAAGGCATGCCTCGCAAGTCACCATGTAGATGTTCTTGTTTTTCGTTCCAAAACTATGATGATTCCCAGTGATCTGCACTGTGTCAGTCTGAGAGCACTCTGCAGTTTGACTTTTGAAATTTTGACTTTATTTACTTTTATGGTCCTTGACATGGGAACAAGAAAGTGAAAGTGCTGTTTTGTGTTTAAACATCATATTTTATTTGTTTGGAAAAGGTTACATTTACATTCCGGATTTCCCAGGCAAATCTTGGAAAAAGTTTTCAGTGTAATATATTTTGTTTAATAAACTCCGAGAATTAAATGAAATCTGATGTTTTTACTTGGATGAAGAATCAAATCGAAAATGAGGGTCCAATATCAAAAATCGATTCGAGGTCTGGATGAATCGTTGCAGCCCTATACATCAGTGTATTTTGATGTTCCATTAATATTAACGTGACCTGCGTTTTTTGATCAGATTATATTTGCACAGTATTGAAACAACTAAGTTTGTTGTTCAATATATCGAACATTGAACACTTTGTAATAAGACGGAAGTGTTGTTCGTTCATAATCATCCACGTTCAGAGATTAAATAAGGGCATACATAAGGATGATGCATAACACTTAACATAATCACTTTTATATATAAAAAGTAATCAATCGTTATGTCAATCATTAGCAAGAAGGACAACAGGAATCACATTTTCAAAGAAATACCAGCTACCAAACGATAGAAAAAGACAGTTACAAGAGTATTGTAGGTTTTGCGCTGTGGGAAATGCGTATATAGTATCATCACAAAAATTTGACAAATGTAACTCACCAATGTGACATGTGACATGTTGAGGAGTGTCATCAAAACAACAGACTCACAAACGAAGTTTGACAGTGATGAACCGCTGGCTGCTGTCCATGACATCTCAATGAAGAGCAACACACGTCTGAAGTAAATGTTGTCTGAGAGTTTTAGTGGGAGCTAACCTCAATAATTATGCTACGTTTATGCGTTTTTGATACGTTTCAAAGACGTCTTTTGAAACATTGTGACATTGCTTGACAATGATCTAGTTTTGTATCTTCCACAGACAAGAAGAAGCCAGTTCTGAAGAACTGTCCAACCACTGACGTCCTGTATAACGTAAGCACCCGCGTCGTGGAGGCCATTGTCGTCTACACAGCGCCCTCTACAGACAGTAACGCCGCAGTATCCAGCACATTCACAGGTGACTGACACATACAACTGTTCGACACTGTCGTCAAGTACCGGGGTGTAGGTGCTCACGGACTACACATCTCCCTTGTATGGGGTCTGTTTAACAACCAGTCTGTATCTCCCATGATACTCTCAACATCAGACAGTGAAAGACATAGATAAATATGAGTATTGAACAAAATTCGCACTGGTTCCTATTTATCAGTTGGTCGCCACTTCTTATGGCAAAGATGTATGGGATTACTATTGTTGTTCGACTGATGCCATCATGATATTGTAACGTCGGTGGCCGGGTTCATCCCGCCAGATGGTGGACTAAAACAACAGAATGCTGTTGGACTGTAGAACAAATGTGGCTCATGTTAAACAATTGTTCAAACATGAGCAACTTGATATGAGCTTTTGTAGATGTGGCTGAGTTAGTTGGAAGACCTGAATACTGTTAGTCATGCCCTAATGCCATGCTTCAATATTATAACTGTGATTGGTTATCTATCATGCCTCAGTGATAAAGTGGGAATGTGTCAATGTCAGGTGAACTCATGATGCATGCATGACGCCTATTTTGTGTTTGTTCTAGACGAGCTCATGATGCGAGGCAGGTATGATATTGTTTACGTCGCCAAAGACAACCAAGGAAACGTTGAACTGTGCAGATTCAATGTCTATATACGAGGTAAATGCCCTGTGTCCTGGTGGTTTACGACAATAACTACCAGTCTATCCGTTCATTCCTTTTCAAAATATTATCTCCCTTTTCCGAAAAATGTATAACCTATCTTTAACTGAACGGAAAACCTATCTGAATACAAATACTCACAACATGAAGGGTATTTTGTACAGGACACATACCTTTCTGTTTATCTTAGGATCAAGCACATGCAGCACAGAGGGCTTCTTGGCGATCACACCTTGTGGAGCAACTGCAGTTCGTGACTTCTGTCCCACCGGTCAAGCCCCTTCCATCCCAACGCCAAATATTCTTAGTTGTGGCAAACTTGGGTCTTATAATCTGGACAATCCGTTGGAGCTGTACACACCGCCTGCTTGTGGAGGTAGGGCTACATATAGGTGTGGAGGGGGGTTGGAGTTGACATGTATTGTGCAATAGTATATACAACTTCACTACCACGCAACACATTTACCACTGTCATGACGAATATGCACACGTTTGTATCAAATCAGCAACGCATAATAATCACACATCAGTGACTAGTATATATCTTGCTATTTGTGAAAGGTCATCCTAAATGTATTAATTGTGAAATATTTTCAGCCACATCTGATCAAAAGTATTCAGTGGAGTTCACCCTCATCTACCAAATGACTTTGACCTGTTCCGACTTTTTGAAAGAGGGCTTGTTGAGAGAGTTGCGAAGCAAGTTTGTGAATAGCCTCTCTGATCGTTGGCCAGGGCTGTGTGTTGATGCCTGCACAAACCTGGTAGCTGCAGGACGTTGTGACGCCAAGAAAATAGTTGTCAGTGCCACCTTGACAAAACTTGGGTGAGTAGGTGTTGGAATGTTCACGCATATTAACAACCGAGGTGAGATACATAGCAACCAACACATAATCCAAGTGTGATTCTATTCTTGAGCAGGCGCGTAGCCAGAAAAATACAGAATGTAAGCACAAATGATGAAAGGTTTTGAAATCAGGGCGAATATACCACATCTAATAGTAAAACATTCTTCTAAACATGAGATAAAGTTAAGACAAACATCAATAACATGGTAAAACATGCAAACATAAAACTTAACTCCAAACTAGCAGATCAAACATAGGACGTTGTGACGATATTTGTCAGTGCCCCTTGACAAAACTTGGGTGAAAAGAAAACAAGGTGTTAAGAAATCCTAACAAGCAATGTTTGTACCTTCATATTGTATATTCGTGTATGCATATTTACTTGTTTGTATTTAAAACATTTACATACATGGTTCCAATCGATAATCTGTCATGGTCATCATAAACCAAAACTATTCAACTATTAACAAGCAGCTACGATGTACATTTAGATTGAAAATGTATCACGTGAATTTGTTAACAGAAGCAAGATAACCAAGAAAGACAACAGCATAACATTATCACCGGCCGAGATTATCAAGATTACAGCGATTGAGAGTAACGATCTGAGCGATTCAAAGTTCATGGTTAGTAGCAGCACATGTCATTTGATAAACACACTCACGCATATCATGAAGACAGAGACGCTTGTATAGAACACTAGGCTACAACATGAGTTGGGCGCTATTGTGTGTCTGTACCAGGCTAACACATGAGCAGAGATCTGTCCCTTGTCTGCACGTGGCTACAACATGAGTAGAGTTCTGTCTCTTGTCTGCACGTGTCTACAACATGAGAGTACAGTTCTGTCTCTTGTCTGCACGTGTCTTAAACATGAGAGTAGAGTTATGTCCCTTGTCTGCACGTGTCTACAACATGAGAGTAGAGTTCTGTTCCTTGTCTGCACGTGTCTACAACATGAGAGTAGAGTTATGTCCCGTGTCTGTACGTGTCTACAACATGAGAGTAGAGTTATGTCCCGTGTCTGTACGTGTCTACAACATGAGTAGTGTTCTGTCCCTTGTCTGCACGTGACTACAACATGAGAGTAGAGTTCTGTCCCTTGTCTGCACGTGTCTACAACATGAGAGTAGAGTTATGTCCCGTGTCTGTACGTGTCTACAACATGAGTAGTGTTCTGTCCCTTGTCTGCACGTGACTACAACATGAGAGTAGAGTTCTGTCCCTTGTCTGCACGTGTCTACAACATGAGAGTACAGTTCTGTTCCTTGTCTGCACGTGTCTACAACATGAGAGTAGAGTTATGTCCCTTGTCTGTACGTGTCTACAACATGAGTAGTGTTCTGTCCCTTGTCTGCACGTGTCTACAACATGAGAGTAGAGCTCTGTCCCTTGTCTGCACGTGTCTACAACATGAGAGTACAGTTCTGTTCCTTGTCTGCACGTGTCTACAACATGAGAGTAGAGTTATGTCCCTTGTCTGCACGTGGCTACAACATGAGAGTAGAGTTCTGTTCCTTGTCTGCACGTGGCTACAACATGAGAGTAGAGTTATGTTCCTTGTCTGCACGTGTCTACAACATGAGAGTAGAGTTGTGTCCCTTGTCTGCACGTGACTACAGCATGAGTAGAGTTCTGTCCCTTGTCTGCACGTGGCTACAACATGAGAGTAGAGTTCTGTTCCTTGTCTGCACGTGTCTACAACATGAGAGTAGAGTTCTGTCCCTTGTCTGCACGTGTCTACAACATGAGAGTAGAGTTATGTCCCTTGTCTGCACGTGGCTACAACATGAGTAGAGTTCTGTCTCTTGTCTGCACGTGTCTACAACATGAGAGTACAGTTCTGTCTCTTGTCTGCACGTGTCTTAAACATGAGAGTAGAGTTATGTCCCTTGTCTGCACGTGTCTACAACATGAGAGTAGAGTTCTGTTCCTTGTCTGCACGTGTCTACAACATGAGAGTAGAGTTCTGTCCCTTGTCTGCACGTGTCTACAACATGAGAGTAGAGTTATGTCCCGTGTCTGTACGTGTCTACAACATGAGTAGTGTTCTGTCCCTTGTCTGCACGTGACTACAACATGAGTAGAGTTCTGTCCCTTGTCTGCACGTGTCTACAACATGAGAGTACAGTTCTGTTCCTTGTCTGCACGTGTCTACAACATGAGAGTAGAGTTATGTCCCTTGTCTGTACGTGTCTACAACATGAGTAGTGTTCTGTCCCTTGTCTGCACGTGTCTACAACATGAGAGTAGAGCTCTGTCCCTTGTCTGCACGTGTCTACAACATGAGAGTACAGTTCTGTTCCTTGTCTGCACGTGTCTACAACATGAGAGTAGAGTTATGTCCCTTGTCTGCACGTGGCTACAACATGAGAGTAGAGTTCTGTTCCTTGTCTGCACGTGGCTACAACATGAGAGTAGAGTTATGTTCCTTGTCTGCACGTGTCTACAACATGAGAGTAGAGTTGTGTCCCTTGTCTGCACGTGACTACAGCATGAGTAGAGTTCTGTCCCTTGTCTGCACGTGGCTACAACATGAGAGTAGAGTTCTGTTCCTTGTCTGCACGTGTCTACAACATGAGAGTAGAGTTCTGTCCCTTGTCTGCACGTGTCTACAACATGAGAGTAGAGTTATGTCCCTTGTCTGTACGTGTCTACAACATGAGTAGTGTTCTGTCCCTTGTCTGCACGTGTCTACAACATGAGAGTAGAGTTATGTCCCTTGACTGCACGAGTCTACAACATGAGAGTACAGTTCTGTTCCTTGTCTGCACGTGTCTACAACATGAGAGTAGAGTTCTGTCCCTTGTCTGCACGTGGCTACAACATGAGAGTAGAGTTCTGTTCCTTGTCTGCACGTGTCTACAACATGAGAGTAGAGTTCTGTCCCTTGTCTGCACGTGTCTACAACATGAGAGTAGAGTTTTGTCCCTTGTCTGCACGTGTCTACAACATGAGAGTAGAGTTATGTTCCTTGTCTGCACGTGACTACAGCATGAGTAGAGTTCTGTCCCTTGTCTGCACATGACTACAGCATGACTAGAGTTCTGTCCCTTGTCTGCACGTGACTACAACATGAGAGTAGAGCTCTGTCCCTTGTCTGCACGTGTCTACAACATGAGAGTACAGTTCTGTTCCTTGTCTGCACGTGTCTACAACATGAGAGTACAGTTCTGTTCCTTGTCTGCACGTGTCTACAACATGAGAGTAGAGTTATGTCCCTTGTCTGCACGTGGCTACAACATGAGAGTAGAGTTCTGTTCCTTGTCTGCACGTGGCTACAACATGAGAGTAGAGTTCTGTCCCTTGTCTGCACGTGGCTACAACATGAGAGTAGAGTTCTGTTCCTTGTCTGCACGTGTCTACAACATGAGAGTAGAGTTCTGTCCCTTGTCTGCACGTGTCTACAACATGAGAGTAGAGTTATGTCCCTTGTCTGTACGTGTCTACAACATGAGTAGTGTTCTGTCCCTTGTCTGCACGTGTCTACAACATGAGAGTAGAGTTATGTCCCTTGACTGCACGAGTCTACAACATGAGAGTACAGTTCTGTTCCTTGTCTGCACGTGTCTACAACATGAGAGTAGAGTTCTGTCCCTTGTCTGCACGTGGCTACAACATGAGAGTAGAGTTCTGTTCCTTGTCTGCACGTGTCTACAACATGAGAGTAGAGTTCTGTCCCTTGTCTGCACGTGTCTACAACATGAGAGTAGAGTTATGTCCCTTGTCTGCACGTGTCTACAACATGAGAGTAGAGTTATGTCCCTTGTCTGCACGTGACTACAGCATGAGTAGAGTTCTGTCCCTTTTCTGCACATGACTACAGCATGACTAGAGTTCTGTCCCTTGTCTGCACGTGACTACAACATGACAAGAGTTCTGTCCTTGTCTGCACGTGTCTACAACATGGGTATGGCGCTATACTGTTTCTGCATCAGGCTAATACATGAGAGTAGAGTTCTGTCCCTTGTCTGCACGTGTCTACAACATGAGAGTAGAGTTGTGCCCCTTGTCTGCACGTGACTACAACATGAGTAGAGTTCTGTCCCTTGTCTGCACGTGACTACAACATGACTAGAGTTCTGTCCCTTGTCTGCACGTGGCTACAACATGAGAGTAGAGTTCTGTCCCTTGTCTGCACGTGTCTACAACATGAGAGTAGAGTTCTGTCCCTTGTCTGCACGTGGCTACAACATGAGAGTAGAGTTCTGTCCCTTGTCTGCACGTGTCTACAACATGAGAGTAGAGTTTTGTCCCTTGTCTGCACGTGTCTACAACATGAGAGTAGAGTTCTGTTCCTTGTCTGCACGTGGCTACAACATGAGAGTAGAGTTCTGTCCCTTGTCTGCACGTGGCTACAACATGGGTAGGGCGCTATACTGTTTCTGCGCCAAGCTAATACATGAGTAGTGTTCTGTCTCTTGTCTGCACGTGTCTACAACATGAGAGTAGAGCTCTGTCCCTTGTCTGCACGTGACTACTGCATGACTAGAGTTCTGTCCCTTGTCTGCACGTGGCTACAACATGAGAGTAGAGTTCTGTCCCTTGTCTGCACGTGGCTACAACATGAGAGTAGAGTTCTGTCTCCTCTCTGCACGTGGCTACAACATGAGAGTAGAGTTCTGTCCCTTGTCTGCACGTGTCTACAACATGAGAGTAGCGTTCTGTCCCTTGTCTGCACGTGGCTACAACATGAGAGTAGAGTTCTGTCTCCTCTCTGCACGTGGCTACAACATGAGAGTAGAGTTATGTCCCTTGTCTGCACGTGTCTACAACATGAGAGTAGAGTTCTGTCCCTTTTCTGCACGTGTCTACAACATGAGAGTAAAGTTATGTCCCTTGTCTGCACGTGGCTACAACATGGGTATGGCGCTATACTGTTTCTGCACCAGGCTAATACATGAGTATAGTTCTGTCCCTTGTCTGCACGTGACTACAGCATGACTAGAGTTCTGTCCCTTGGCTCCACGTGACTACAACATGGGTAGGGTGCACCACCCTGGTGTTAAACGACACATAGATCAATGCCTCAATGGCCTCTCATGGTCTTGACGGCTACTTTGCTGTAGTGCCTTCACTCTTCTTTCATTAAATGCATTAATCAATCTACCACCGACTACATCACTGTTTTGTTACTCAAAGTCTTCGCCCTTCTTACATTAACGTTGTGTTATTCAAGGCTCTGGCCAATCATTCACCAACGGCTGCATTACTGTAGTGTTACCTAAAGTCTTCCTTCATTGACGCAGTGTTATTCAAAGCTATGGTCAAAACACCGTTGGCTACATGTGTGTGGTGTATTTCAGGACATCGGCCTGAGTATGCTACAGAAGGACCTGGTGGTGGTTGTCCTTAAGGCATCCTGTGATGAAGCAGTCGGCACCAGCAGCTGTGGTGAGTAGCTGTATTGCATATCGACAGTATCTATTTTGCGTCTGGTATGGATAATGATCTGACAGAAAAGTGATATTTAATTGCTAACCTAAGTAGGGAAAGAACTGACTACCTGTTGTATCTCTCAGTTGCCTGTGGCCATGGGTCCTTCCTCAACTCAACACTGGGCCAGTGTGAGCTGTGTCCAGTAGGCACCTACTCTGACGCATCCTCACAGACGTCGTGCAAGACGTGTGGAGTAAAGACCACTCTCAGGCCTGGTGCTAGGACTCTGGCTAGCTGTGTGGGTAGGTATCTTACTTATCTTGCATGATCTATTGATATATTAATAACTCCTGAAAAGTATAATGAAGCATCGTGTAGGTGCATGTAAAATATTCCAACTAAAACTACGTCGTCCTCTGAAATTCTACAAGAACTACAAATAGAAATTCAAGAATATATAAACGAACTTTTACAAATAAATCTCAGCATTTCATTGTAATTCGCTGATAATTTTCATTTGATATTTTAAATTAAAATGAAATGGGGTAAACTGGTTGTTGCTTCAGTAAAAGTACCCAGGTGTAATGCCCACAAGGGGTGGTCGAACTGCATCGTGTAAGAACATGGGTAAACATGACAGGACGATTTTACCGTTGGTGGACACAGGAGACTGAACTGTTCCTTGACGGGAAGTGTATGCATAGTACCCGTACTATAATGCTCAATGGGATTATTACACACCAGATTCAGTGGCTGGTGGAATATTGCTGGACGAATAGGGAGAGTATATTACTGCAAGGCTGAAGTTCTTCCCCATGTCATACAGTTTTGTGGGGTGCGTCTCTGAATCTTTCGACTAGCTGGTTTCACTGACCACTCCAGGTGGGCACATCACTAGACAAGGGTTTGGAGTTTTGATATTATTAAGTGATATGAAATTGTTTTCTGACTGAACATTGGCCTGCACTTCCTTTTGTGTTCGACACATTGTCCTTGACGTCTGAAGATAGATATATTACTAAAAGCCCCATGGTATAGGAAAGTGAAACTGTAATGGGGTGTATATTTCAGACAAATGTCCAGCTGGTCAGTACTTCCAAGGCAGCAGCTGTAGCCCATGTCCACGTGACTACTACCAGGAGAAGGAGGGCCAGTCGTTCTGCTACCCCTGTCCTCTGCTCAAGAGAACCAGAGTGGCGGGAACAGACAGTGCTTCCAAATGTTTTAGTGAGTAAAGCGTATTATAGACATTATCCTGTGCTGTGTAGAATATAGTTGTAGCCATGTAGACATGCTCTAAATGCAAAGACACCGCCATTAGTAAAGAGATTATCATTTATTCTAAAATCTTGTGATAGAGGTGTCAGTCAAGTACTAGACATTAAAAACCCTAACGGAAGCTACCAATCACTTAATCAATTCCAATACACTTTTGAACTTGATGTCAACTGCCCTCATTATCAAGGATTAACCCATGCTATAGGGAACTACCCAGATAGGCTGAAAATATGAAAACCCACATCTTTTGCCCAAATGGATGAACATCCTGTTTTGAGGGAACTACTAACATTTCAGAAGGGTGGAAAGTGGGGTATTTTATGTTAGATGTATGCGATACTTACATTCAATTTAACCAAAGTGGGAGAAATGTGTTCTCTTTGAATTAGAGTGGGAAAAATATCTGTAAAACCAATTAAAATAACTTTAGATACCAAATTGAGATGATTTCATTTCAGAATTATTCACAGGATTTGATCAACTCATTTTTATATAGCATCAACTCTACTGTTAGTAATTTATGTTATACTTTTCAGTGCTAAGTTGAACCAATTACCCACTTATTTGAGGGCTGTAGACGAGTTCAAGGCTTCCCTCCAATAACTATTAAATCTTCTGTATGAAAAGTGCCCACTTACCCATAATTATAAATTTGACCTTCAGCTTATTCTGTTTGGTTTTAAAGGAAATATATATACTGATGATGAGATTGACCTACTGTTGCAGTTAGCTCAATTCTTTATCTGTATATGTAAACTTTTGAAAAAAAACCCTGAATGTTCATAACTTCAAGCATTATATCAACACCAGGTATACCATTGAACGGAATACTGCTGATAGCTAAAGCCGACAAGCTAAATTCTATACCTAGTAGATGTTGTATTATGAACTAACCAATGCAGATATGTCGATTTCAGAAGCGTGTTGATCTTAATGTAATGAGTTTAACAATTCTTGATTACTTGAATTTATGTCTTGAACTGCCGATATTAAACCTTCTTTTTTAATGCAGAATGCGAGTGAATATGAGTATGCATGAGTGCCTGTGTCAATGTTAAATCTAAAACATATCTGAGTCAATAATTATTTCTCTAACATAAACTTCACAAACAGAATTAACATGCATGACAACAGCTGTTTTTACTCATGCAATAACCTTTCTTGTGTCTTGTAAAACTGTCTATATATTTTCTTACATTTGGGCCAAACACTACCCTGGTGTCTTATTTTGTCTGTAAGAGGGGCTCAGAAATAGAATATTGATTGCCAAAATATCGAAGATGTGTAAACCATATTCAATAGTGACTGCTGATCATTTTATTGCAATTAGACAGAGGTGGAAGTTGCTGGCCGTCTGAATATCCTTCCAAAGCTTTTTGACAAAAACCATTTCCGCCTAGTCTCTGCATGCTCACATATTCTATTGTACAAACATATTCTGTATGTGATTTCATTTACATTTACAAGTCTCTCCCAATGGTAAGTAATGGTGTGTGGATCCTTTTCCTTTCATTTTATTGTTGCCACTTTGTCCTCTGTATAGCTATCATGTATTTTATTTTCTGTAGAAAATCTAAACTGATAGAATGTTGTAGATGATATGCACACTTGGTTGATGTAGATACGTCTATTACCTCACTGAGGTATGTTGTAATGTGTTTAGGTTTCCATATGACCGTAGTAAGCTCGTCGAATGCACATGGGTTACAGCACATGGGTTACAGTACAGCCCACGTCATGTGACCCACTGTGAATCTGCCATGCTCTGACTGAACATAACTGGGATTAAAGGATTGCATGTATTTTTGTGAACAGCTAAAATTGGTGGTTGCGTTTCTGTCTTAAGTACTTCTTATGTGAATGTCACACACACACTCTGAGCAGTCGACATCCCAATGGTAAAGGATCCATGTTATTCTCTCTCCATAAATTAGAGTAACCAGAATATGTTGATTCATGGACGCTAAACATGGATCCTTCTGGTACTGAGTTGCAGGAGGATGTGATTAACTTCCAGGTATGGTCAAAATGTATGTTCCATGTTACAGATGTCTGTCCTTCTGGCACTGAGTTGCAGGACGATGTCATTAACTTCCAAGTATTGGTCAATGTATGTTCCATGTTACAGATGTCTGTCCTTCTGGCACTGAGTTGCAGGACGATGTCATTAACGTCCAAGTATTGGTCAATGTATGTTCCATGTTCATGTCTGTCCTTCTGGCACTGACTTGCAAGACGATGTCATTAACATCCAAGTATTAGTCAATGTATGTTCCATGTTACAGATGGCTGTCCTTCTGGCACTGAGTTGCAGGACGATGTCATTAACTTCCAAGTATTGGTCAATGTATGTTCCATGTTACAGATGGCTGTCCTTCTGGCACTGACTTGCAGGACGATGGGTCATGTAAGGACTGTGCCCAGGGTTACTTCAGGACGCGCAACCTACAAGACAGCTGTGAGAAATGTCCGAGTGGAAAGACCACGGAAGGAGACCACGTCCGAAACTTACGGAACCAAAAAATCAAAACGACCTCATCGTCCGGCTGCAACTTACGTCAGTATTACCTTGTGATAGAAATGTTCTAGAACTAATAGCAAATAGTTCATTTGTTAAAAGGCTTTGTTGTCACTTTAAACAGAATGTACATTGAAACTGGAATTGTTAAATTATGTTATATTTGCATCAAATCAATGTTTTCTTTCAACAGCTGATTGTCCCTCTGGTCGATACATCGACATGAACAGGTTGTGTAAGATATGTGAGATAGGGACGTTCCAGACCACGAAATGGCAGAGATCGTGCATCTCCTGTAACGACAGCTACACAACAACAGCTGCAGAATCTACACAGGCTTCCGACTGTAAATGTAAGTGGATGGGAACAATATCAAGGGACAAACTACGGGCAGAATACAAACGTGAACGCTCCTAATAAAGTCCGAGCTACAAACATATATATGTTGTGTCAGTACTCTTATTCCTTCGATCTTGTTGGTTGGACGAAACAAGAAAATCAGAGTAACGACACACTCACACGAAGAATCATTTCAGACAAAAGACACAACCACCCTCGCTCTTCCCTCAGTCATATATATTCACCAATGTCAATGGGAGGACGTGGTTTGATTAACGTGGAGTCTCCTCATAACACCTTGTGAAGCATGTCAAGACTCAAGATGAAACCAAGACATGCCACAGTTATCACATAGAGCCAAGGATGCTGGATATGACTTGAAAACATGGACTAAATTCGGAAATGTGTGGTGGCTGATTAGGGCCATCGCTTTCTCGCCTGAAAATTCGGAGGTGAGAAAGCGATATCACGAGACGAGAAAGCGATAACACGAGACAAAAAAGTGATAGCACGGGACGAGAAAGCGATAACGCGAGACGAGAAAGCGATAACGCGAGACGAGAAAGCGATAGCGCGACGAGAAAACGATGTAACAAGGCGAGAAAGCGATAGCGCGAGAAAACGATATAACAAGGCGAGGAAGCGATAGAATGAGAAAGCGATAGCGCGAGAAAGCGATAGAGCAAGACAGCGAGAAAGTGATAGAGCGAGAAAGCGATATTTCACATAATTCTGCCCTGTCTGCACATGACGTCTTGCCTGCGTATGATTTAATCCAACAGGAGGCTTTATTGTCATATGGTTTAATCGTATAGAAACAAAAGGAACATGCTTTCAAATTCTGTGGCATTTTTGTAATTAATCTTTTGACTTGTCCAAACAATAATCCAACAATAACACCAGAAACCGAGTGTGTTTTCGTTGAAATAAATGAGTGGTCTTAAAAAGTCTGTAAAAAGGATAACAATCATTTCAATTTATTGTTACATCACTAATTAGTTCTGGATTAATTCCTGGCTTACATTTCTTTATTGTCATTTCCCTTGTTAAATGCCACCATTGTTATATCATTATTCATGCCGGGATTAACAATCCCTGGCTTCTATTTGTCACATCCACCCTACCAATTTAGCGCTAATTAAGTACTGGCTTCCCTTGTTATCTTATCACTGTTCTTATCACTGTTTGTTTATCACTGTACGTCTTTAGCTTTCTGTTTCCTAGTTTCTAGTCTCTTCATTCACCCGATGAAGGATAACAATATACTCCGTAACATCGTGTTCCACAAATACAGAAGTTGACATCCATAAATTCTCTTAAATACCTTTAGGTATTTTATGAGTCCTGTTTTATGAGCCCTGTTTTTCACTGGGCTAATCTACACATTTGCCTACTCTCCATGTTACCCGTGAAGATGCTTGTCGTAAAAGGTGACTAACGGGATCTGGTGGTCAGGCTCGCTGACTTGGTTGACAATGTCATCGTAACCCAACTGCGTAGATATTTTTATCATGATGTTGATCACTGGACTGTCTGGTCCAAACTCGATTATTTACAGACCGCCGCCATAGAGCTGTAATATTGCCTAGTGCGGTGTTAAATAACAGACTACGAAACCAACTCCCCGTCGGGCTTTATTGTATCAGTGATGGAATTTTATAAACCCTGTGCCTTTCATCTGGTCTTTTTATGTGTGCATATTCACACATGTATATTTCCACTATTATGTGAAAAAGGTATTGTTCTAAATGTATGTGCCATAGTCTCTTATACTTACATACGTATATGTCGTCTGTCCCCATATCCCAACTATCGACTTGAGACAGTGCCACAATTCATCGACCAACGTGGTAGGTGTGTTTAACAAAAACGTAATAAAGTTATTACTTGGAGAATAAAGCAATATATCATACACCTGTATATTGAAAATAATTTAGTTTAGATTGGGAGTTGAGAAGTTGGACGTAAGACGGTTGGGAAGTTGATTGCGTATAAGTTCAACTAAGTATGTAGTGTAAAGTATATTGTGACTTATTGTGCAGAACAGTTAAGCTAATAAGGAGTCTACTAAATAGATGAAAAGGGATTAAATGTTTAAAGGTAGGACTGGGGAGGCAGGGTATGGTGTTTATGTTTTGGTTGTGAAACGTGCGGTCTTTTTTTGTTTGGTAGTTTGATATTTTGTTTTCAGACCCAGTCTGGTAGTTATTGAGTAATTTGGTTTCTTCTAGTAACTACTAGGTAGTAGGTGCTAGTCTTTGCACCTATGGCGTTTTTTGTTTTGTTTTGTTTTTGTTTTTGTTTTGTTTTTGGGGAGGCTTTATATTGTAAGGAGTTTAGTTTATCATGATTGGTAGGAGATAGAGAAGGACGGGAGCGACTCACTCCGGTGTGAACATGATAAATGTTTTGTAGATGTGTAGGAGGGTTTATTTGTCTGCATCCCAGTGAATGTCACCTATTGCTCTCATTCGATTTGAATCGTTTTGACATGAGTTGACCAAGTTATAAACAAGATGATACAGGTAGATAGTTCCATATATTGAACGAGTTTCAAGTCCTCCTCTGGAAAACAAAATGTTACGAAAGGTTAATAGGATACACGTGTCACCAATCAGCTTATCAAAACCTATGCGACCACGCCCAGCTGTAGCCTTTACTTTACTTTTATTCTCGATAGACAGTCAAAATGGCGGCGGAGTGTGTCAATATATTGTAGAAAATCAGTTGTTGGTGTAACATGTCTATTATCTAACTTTTGTTAGAAGAAAACTTGGGGAAAAGATGGGTTTTGATAGATATTTTCATGGCAGAACGGGTTTGAAATTGGCGGACCAAAACGTCGCTTACATTATAATAAAGACGTTGTATATCCATATCACTTTCCCCGTTGTTCAGCACACCAACTTCTAAATGTCATCCAAAGAAGTTCACTATATATGGCTGTTGTTCAGCACACCAACTTCTAAATGTCATCCAAAGATGTTCACTATATATGGCTGTTGTTCAGCACACCAACTTCTAAATGTCATCCAAAGATGTTCACTATATATGGCTGTTGTTCAGCACACCAACTTCTAAATGTCATCCAAAGATGTTCACTATATATGGCTGTTGTTCATTCTAAATGTCATCCAAAGATGTTCACTATATATGGCTGTTGTTCAGCACACCAACTTCTAAATGTCATCCAAAGATGTTCACTATATATGGCTGTTGTTCAGCACACCAACTTCTAAATGTCATCCAAAGATGTTCACTATATATGGCTGTTGTTCAGCACACCAACTTCTAAATGTCATCCAAAGATGTTCACTATATATGGCTGTTGTTCAGCACACCAACTTCTAAATGTCATCCAAAGAAGTTCACTATATATGGCTGTTGTTCAGCACACCAACTTCTAAATGTCATCCAAAGAAGTTCACTATATATGGCTGTTGTTCAGCACACCAACTTCTAAATGTCATCCAAAGATGTTCACTATATATGGCTGTTGTTCAGCACACCAACTTCTAAATGTCATCCAAAGATGTTCACTATATATGGCTGTTGTTCAGCACACCAACTTCTAAATGTCATCCAAAGAAGTTCACTATATATGGCTGTTGTTCAGCACACCAACTTCTAAATGTCATCCAAAGATGTTCACTATATATGGCTGTTGTTCAGCACACCAACTTCTAAATGTCATCCAAAGAAGTTCACTATATATGGCTGTTGTTCAGCACACCAACTTCTAAATGTCATCCAAAGAAGTTCACTATATATGGCTGTTGTTCAGCACACCAACTTCTAAATGTCATCCAAAGAAGTTCACTATATATGGCTGTTGTTCAGCACACCAACTTCTAAATGTCATCCAAAGATATATATATGGCTGTTGTTCAGCACACCAACTTCTAAATGTCATCCAAAGATGTTCACTATATATGGCTGTTGTTCAGCACACCAACTTCTAAATGTCATCCAAAGAAGTTCACTATATATGTTCACTATATGGCTGTTGTTCAGCACACCAACTTCTAAATGTCATCCAAAGAAGTTCACTATATATGGCTGTTGTTCAGCACACCAACTTCTAAATGTCATCCAAAGATGTTCACTATATATGGCTGTTGTTCAGCACACCAACTTCTAAATGTCATCCAAAGAAGTTCACTATATATGGCTGTTGTTCAGCACACCAACTTCTAAATGTCATCCAAAGATGTTCACTATATATGGCTGTTGTTCAGCACACCAACTTCTAAATGTCATCCAAAGATGTTCACTATATATGGCTGTTGTTCAGCACACCAACTTCTAAATGTCATCCAAAGAAGTTCACTATATATGGCTGTTGTTCAGCACACCAACTTCTAAATGTCATCCAAAGAAGTTCACTATATATGGCTGTTGTTCAGCACACCAACTTCTAAATGTCATCCAAAGATGTTCACTATATATATGGCTGTTGTTCAGCACACCAACTTCTAAATGTCATCCAAAGATGTTCACTATATATGGCTGTTGTTCAGCACACCAACTTCTAAATGTCATCCAAAGAAGTTCACTATATATGGCTGTTGTTCAGCACACCAACTTCTAAATGTCATCCAAAGAAGTTCACTATATATGGCTGTTGTTCAGCACACCAACTTCTAAATGTCATCCAAAGAAGTTCACTATATATGGCTGTTGTTCAGCACACCAACTTCTAAATGTCATCCAAAGAAGTTCACTATATATGGCTGTTGTTCAGCACACCAACTTCTAAATGTCATCCAAAGAAGTTCACTATGTGTGGCTGTTGTACAGCACACCAACTTCTAAATGTCATCCAAAGAAGTTCACTATATATGGCTAGACCAGCGTTTTATGTGCGTACTATTTTCAGCTTTGATAAGACGAACGTTTGACTGCATCCTTTTATTTGCTTAGATTACACCATTCACTGTGGAATGGTTCTGTTACTACATTGAGGTACCAAGGTGCTTTACTGTCACGTGCGTCTCCTCTGTCTTTGGGTAGGAGCGATTTAGGTTCATGTAGGTGAAGATAAATTTCATCGTCTTTATTAACTCAGAGAAACTACAGCTGTATTTTGATCACCCTGAAATACAATAAAATGAGATAAACATAAATGGTTAAGTTCCCATACCTCATTTCTAATTCCTCCACCTATAACGAAACAGCGAGAACTGATAATTATTATACAATTGCAACTGTCTACATACGGCTCATTTATAGTGTCACATACATCAAAACTCTCTGAATGTGATGTATATGTAATAAACTGAGCTGCAACAGAAACGCAAGTTCCAATTTGTTTGAAATGTAAGTGTTACTCACCATTCTAGCTATGTACATCAACCCCATCCATTATATATACATCCACCTGGCTTCCTATCAGTTGTATAAGTTCTTATTCAGTCCTTGTATATCACCCTTCTGGCTTCCAATCAACTTACTCAATCTCTTATACAAGCGTTGATCCCTTATTTTATAAACAACTCATTCCCTATCTAATAACAACTCATGTATATATTCTCTCAATTTGTTACTCATGTATCACTTGCTTGACAACGACATTAGAATATATGTCTAAACGTCGCCTCCACAGAATAAAAGAAGTTGTATATCCATAATAATTGTCATTATTCTTAATCAACTCAACTTCTAAATTGCCCGTCAAATAATAATTCAATTGGTTGGTGTGATTAAGGTGGTTAAGACAACTCGAATCTAGTCATGGCATAAAATATGTAATTCCCTTAGTCACAACGTTTCCGTTATTTCACGATATGACTATTGCATACGTGCAAATTGCATGCCAAAGGAAGTCTACATCTGCATAAGATATTCTCTAAACTTCAAGTCATACAACGCCATTCATGGGCAAGAACATTACTGAAAACCATTTTATACTATCCAGAAATTACGAATGGCGACTGAGCTTCCGTTTGTAGTCGATCAGGGCACAATGTGTGAAGCCCATTTCTGGTGTCCCCCGCCGTGATATTGCTGGAATATTGCTAAAAGCGGCGTAAAACTAAACTCAGTCAGTCAGTCAGTTGTAGTCGATCATGCGCAGACAGGACTGAATTGTTTGTAATATCGCTTTCTCGCTTTCTCGTCTCGTGCTATCGCTTTCTCGCTTCCGAATTTTAAGGCGAGAAAGCGATGGCCCTAATCAGCCACCATAGAAATGAGATACCCTTAATCTGAAAGCCCCTATTTACTTATAGATGCTCTGACATGATCATGGTTTTTTATACAGGTATTCTACCAAAAGTCACGAATATTTGTTTGTATACATCTGGGTACCCAGCACACAAACACTTGGACACAAAAGCTGTATGGCAAGTAAACGATTGGTCTTATATTGACAGTCAGCTGTTCTTGGAAACCTTGGTAAGAGTGTCACAAAATGGGCCAACAGCAGAAATGATGTAAACAAAAAGACTTATGTATTGGTTGATAACTGTCCTGGGTGAATGGGGGTGTGGCTTGAGATAGGATAATGTGCACACAGTATTCATGAATGCTACATTTCCAGCAAAATATTCTTAAGTAACGGAGTACAGTTGACTCTCGATGTTTGAAACACCATATGCTTTCTTGGAATGGGTGTGTCAGGCACGGATCCTCCCACACCCATCAAGGAAACATGTTCAAACTGAAGGGACCTGGGACTAAACCCCTATTTAACGAGTTTTCTGATTCAAACAGCTATTACGTCTGTGTCATAAGTGAATGGTAAGATGAACTTAATGCACTTAGTGGATGGTGGGACTTCTAATTACTCAGTGGAGAAATGACGTCATTGTCATGGGTGCGTCTACTACCACACTGCTACTCATCAAGTCCGTGTTTCTATGTAACAGAGACACGAAGCGACGTATCTAGAAACAGATGTCTCTACTTCAAGGGTTCCGCTCATCAGATATATGATATGATGCATTATGAGCGTTCCCTGACCTCAGGAAAGAATCTACTTAAGAGGTTTTCCACTAAGAAGATATCAACCTACCTAGAATTCACTGCACTCATAACACGTCACATTTTCTGTTGCAGTTTTGTGCCCAGCAGGACAAGAAGAATCACCAGTGGGTTCACGATGTTCACCATGTCCTAGGGGCAAATACAGAGATAGTTCTATGCTGCTGAGATTCCAGCCATGTCAAACATGCAGTACTGGCTTCACCACGAAGACGAGTAATGCTACCAATAGCACCGACTGTTCCATCAGTAAGAATACCACATTGGCAAATCTGGTTATGAGTAGACAGATTTCTATGTTGTGTCTGCTTTAGTGAAAACAAATGTTTAATGCCTGAGGGAAACCAGAACCTGGGGTGACTGATGACAAATGTCTTGGCTTTGCTCACCATGACTGCTGTCAGCAGGACAGAAGCATTACAATTTCCCAATCGCAGCGCGATAAATCTCTTTCCATAATTACAGGAAAATGTTAAAGTTACGACTCGGATACTCTTATAAGTAAGTGTTGACGACTATCTGTAAAAAAGTGACGAAAAGGTAAAGTGTCCTGCCCATACGGTGACACCTGTCACAAGCTTTTTTCATTGACCCAAATTATGATTATTTTATTTGCATAGTGCAGTTCAAAATGGCATCTTCAACATTAACAAGAAACAGATTAATTTATATACTCTTCCCAAAAAGAAACTTGACATGCTGTTTTGGAGTATATTTACTGAGTGCATATAACTGATTCAAACATGATATCATTACAGTAAAATCATCTCTGTACAAATTTCCAAAATATGATTATCCAGAAAATGTTTGGTAAAACCACAGAGGGCTATTAAACCCACTTGGTCAATGTAAAATGTCAGTATCTGTTGTGACCACCATGAGCATCGATAACAGCTTGGCAGGGGTGAACCATAGAAGAAAGCAGATGCCGAATATTGTCTTGAGGAATGTTTTGATACACTTGCTGAAGTGCTGTGTGAGGTTCTTGTAGTGTCTGAGGTGGCGGATTACGCTGGTGCAAGCGTTGATCAAGGGTATCCCATAGATGTTCAGTGGGGGACAAATTGTGTCATCGAGAAGGCCATGGTAACACCTGAGCGTTGTTTTGCTGGAGGAGGTCCTGGCAAACACGTGCAACGTGAGGTCGAGTATTGTCATGCTAGAAGGATCCACCGTTGACGTTGATGAAGGGAACGACGTGACGTTGCAAAATCTCGTATCTATAGCGAACCCCATTCAATGCACCTGCCACGTGCACAAGAGCTGTCCGACCATTATGATGGATACCTGCCCACACCATGACACTTTCACCACCAAATCTATACGACCTGCTGTACACAGTTATCGGCATAACGTGTGTTCCGACGTCTGTATACACGTGAACGTCTATCAGAACGTCAGAGAAGAAACCGTGACTCATCTGAGAACACATTTGTCCTCCATCTTGCCAGCGGCCATCTCACTCGTTGTCTGCACCATTGTAAACCTTAAGCCTGGTGACGTTGTGTCAAGACGTTAACAGGTCTTCTGGCAAAAAGTCGGGTTTCCCGTAGCCGATTGCGCACTGTCTGGACCCGACCTGGGTCAATCATTAACGCTCCCAGTATTGTTGTATTGGGTCCATAGGTTTGAGATGGTTGAGACACGCAGAAGTGCCTTGTCACCTCATGCTGCGATGCCGCTCCTTGTAAACGACCGATGACGTTGTGTCGTTGAGCTTCTGTCAGTCTTGGCATTCTTTTTTGTCGTCCGTAGTGACTTAAAGCAATGCATGTGGAGTACCGTTGATTTGGCATTTTAAAGCCTGCAGTCACAGGCTTCAGCTCGGGGTGATACACAATTTCATGATGCTCGTGCATTTCATGTAGGGTTCGTTTTAGCGATTCACTACAAACGTGAGTGTAACGTAACGTTTTTGTTCAACGTTTCTTTGTTAAACGTTTTGTCGTCGGCAACCATTCTACAAGTTGTGATTCAGCATGGATTGGCTCGTGTTTATTATTTTCCTAAGATTTAAATTGTTCCTATGTCAAGTTTCTTATAAGTTTCTATATCTTTGAAGAGTATATATGTTTTCCATCATATCTTCAGGAATATGCACAGCGGGCAACTACAGAAATGCGACCGACAACACGTGTTACCCATGTCCTGTTGGGCAATATCAACCTCAGGATCTCCAAGATCAGTGTCTGTCTTGCAACAGCAGCTACAGCACCAGCGGCACCGGCACCGTGAACGCCACTGGATGTATCTGTGAGTTGACAGTAATGAGTAGTCGTCACACCAGTTAATGAGAATCTTCAACCACCGCCTCCCAAACTGTGACTCTGGCTCAATATACATACAGAACTCCTGGAGGTGCAGTTGTCGCAATCACTTCAAATCTTTCTTAAATTTAGTCGACATTTCCAGGCCGGGACGTGTTGACAGTCAAATAGTCTCTGAATACGCCAGTGGCCACATTATGAGTTAGGATTTACTTCTGCCACATGTTCTAACCACGCTTATTTCGTTACAAAGTCAAATTAAGTAGGTGATGTCTTGTGACTCTTCCAGTTTTCTGTCCCGATGGCTATGAACTGAAAACACCTGGCACCACGACCTGCACCCTTGCCCCGAGGGACCTACCGCTCCAACACAGACCTTCTAAGATTTAAAACATGCCAAGCTTGTGCTGACAGCACAAAATCAACAGACGACGTTGGATCCAAGCTACCATCAGATTGTAAAATCAGTCAGTATTCCTTTTATAAAGTTTGTTTTGCGATTAGAGTGAGTAAGTGAAAGAGTTAAAAGATTGGCTATGTTGCAGCAATAAATAATATATTCTTTTTCACAAAGGTCAGTACAATAGTGCTACAAGTGGGTTAGTTGGTTTGGATTACAACCAGCTTCCTGGTGATCATGGGGACGTGCAGACATTAAGACTGTAATACACTTGGACTCATGTGCCACTGTCACAGGGGCAGGGAGTTTCCACTAAGTTCCCTCACTCATTGACTCTACACTGAAAGATAACACATTACATGCATAATTTGTCAAATGGTTTTATTTCTTCAAACAAGATGAACTAATAAACGAGCACCAACATGAGTAAAACACCCTGCTGTTTTTTTAAAGAAGGTTTTTCTCCATAGAGGTGTGCAGTGCTGGCCAGAAGCTAACAGATAACATGTTGAGCTGTGTTAATTGCCCTGTGGATACCTATCAACCAGAGGCCCTTCCCAATACCACAACGCAGTGTCTTAACTGCACCACAAACTACGGCACAAAACAGCCCAGTAGTGGCAATAGTTCCGACTGCCTTCGTAAGTACACTACACAGATATAACATATTCTGACCTTGTAAGCGACAGTGTGCAAACAAAAGCAGTACCAATATAAAAAGGACAGTCTGATGTATGTATATGTTTGGCTAAGTGTAAGTTCTTAGCGATTACCTATTTATCCCACCAGTATTCTGTGCAGCTTCCATCTAATTCCGTGTCTTCTATGTGTTTATCCCGCCAGTATTCTGTGCAGCTTCCATCTAATTCCGTGTCTTCTATGTGGTTATCCCGCCAGTATTCTGTGCAGCTTCCATCTAATTCCGTGTCTTCTATGTGTTTATCCCGCCAGTATTCTGTGCAGCTTCCATCTAGTTCCGTGTCTTCTATGTGGTTATCCCGCCAGTATTCTGTGCAGCTTCCATCTAATTCCGTATGTTCTATGTGGTTATCCCGCCAGTATTCTGTGCAGCTTCCATCTAATTCCGTGTATTCTATTTGTTTATCCCACTAGCATTCTGTGCAGCTTCCATCTAATTCCGTGTCTTGTATTTGTTTATCCCGCCAGTGGTCTGTGCAGCTTCCATCTAATTCCGTTTCTTCTATTTGTTTATCTCACCAGTATTCTGTGCAGCTTCCATCTAATTCCGTGTCTTCTATGTGTTTATTCCACCAGCATTCTGTGCAGCTGGCCAGCAGGTCAATGGCAGCCAATGTGAGCCGTGTCCAAGTGGAACCTGGAACGATGGGTCATCCCAGATGCGGTTCTCGGCATGTGAAGCGTGTTCTGATGCTAATTTTACAACAGAATCAACCGGTTCCACCAGTGCTACACAGTGCACACTGAGTGAGTCAATTTCAATGGAAACTGAGTAGCAGGTGACAAGTGTGATCTACACTGCCGTCCTTAGTACGTTTATCTTACTGACATTGATTCGTATGAATCACTATAGAACATGCAACTATTTTCAGGAAACTGCCCTCCTGGATACAAAATCGGTGCCAGTGCCTGCGAGGCATGTGCATTTGGGGAGTACCAGCCACTTCGGGCAAAGAGCAAGTGTGAAAGTTGTGGCACAGACCTGAATACGTCTTCGACCGCCTCTACTTCAAGAGATCAGTGTACAAGTAGGTGACGTCCACTGTAAAACATAGTACAGACTAGGTAAGTGTACAAGTAGGTGACGTCCACTTTAAAACATGGTACAGACAAGGTCAGTGTACAAGTAGGTGACGTCCACTGTAAAACATGGTACAGACTAGGTAAGTGTACAAGTAGGTGACGTCCACTTTAAAACATGGTACAGACAAGGTCAGTGTACAAGTAGGTGACGTCCACTGTAAAACATGGTACAGACTAGGTCAGTGTACATGTAGGTGACGTCAACTGTGAAACATGGTACAGACTAGGTCAGTTTACAAGTAAATGACTTCCACTGTAATACATGGTACAGACTAAATCTGTGTAAAGGTTGGTGACGTCCACTTTGAAACATGGTACAGACTAGGTCAGTGTATAAGTAGGTGACGTCCACTGTGAAACATGGTGCAGACTAGATCAGTGTTCATGTAGGTGACGTCCACTGTAAAACATGGTACAGACTAGGTCAGTGTACAAGTAGGTTACGTCCACTGTAAAACATGGTGCAGACATGGTCAGTGTACAAGTAGGTGACGTCCACTGTGAAACACGTTACAGACTAGATCAGTGTACAAGTAGGTGACATCCACTGTAAAACACGGTGCAGACAAGGTCAGTGTACAGGAAGGTGACGTCCACTGTAAAACATGGTACAGACATGGTCAGTGTACAAGTAGGTGACGTCCACTCTAAAACTTGGTACAGACTAGTTCAGTGTACAAGTAGGTGACGTCCACTGTAAAACATGGTGGAGACTAGGTCAGTGTACAAGTAGGTTACGTCCACTGTAAAACTTGGTACAGACAAGGTCAGTGTACAGGAAGGTGACGTCCACTGTAAAACATGCTACAGACATGGTCAGTGTTCAAGTAGGTTACGTCCACTGTAAAACATGGTACAGACATGGTCAGTGTACAAGTAGGTGACGTCCACTGTAAAACATGGTACAGACTAGTTCAGTGTACAAGTAGGTGACGTCCACTGTAAAACATGGTGCAGACAAGGTCAGTGTACAAGTAGGTGACGTCCACTGTAAAACATGGTACAGACTAGGTCAGTGTACAAGTAGGTTACGTCCACTTAAAAACTTGCTGCAGACAAGGTCAGTGTACAAGTAGGTGACGTCCACTGTAAAACATGGTACAGACTAGGTCAGTGTACAAGTAGGTGACGTCCACTGTAAAACATGGTGCAGACAAGGTCAGTGTACAAGTAGGTGACGTCCACTGTAAAACATGGTACAGACATGGTCAGTGTACAAGTAGGTGACGTCCACTGTAAAACATGGTACAGACTAGGTCAGTGTACAAGTAGGTGACGTCCACTGTAAAACATGGTACAGACTAGGTCAGTGTACAAGAAGATGACGTCCACTGTAAAACATGGTACAGACATGGTCAGTGTACAAGTAGGTGACGTCCACTGTAAAACATGGTACAGACTGGTTCAGTGTACAAGTAGGTGACGTCCACTGTAAAACATGGTACAGACAAGGTCAGTGTACAAGTAGGTGACGTCCACTGTAAAACATGGTACAGACAAGGTCAGTGTACAAGTAGGTGACGTCCACTGTAAAACATGGTACAGACATGGTACAGACATAAGGTCAGTGTACAAGTAGGTGACGTCCACTGTAAAACATGGTACGTCCACTAAAAACATGGTACAGACAAGGTCAGTGTACAAGTAGGTGACGTCCACTGTAAAACATGGTGCAGACAAGGTCAGTGTACAAGTAGGTGACGTCCACTGTAAAACATGGTACAGACATGGTCAGTGTACAAGTAGGTGACGTCCACTGTAAAACATGGTACAGACAAGGTCAGTGTACAAGTAGGTGACGTCCACTGTAAAACATGGTACAGACAAGGTCAGTGTACAAGTAGGTGACGTCCACTGTAAAACATGGTACAGACATGGTCAGTGTACAAGTAGGTGACGTCCACTGTAAAACATGGTACAGACAAGGTCAGTGTACAAGTAGGTTACGTCCACTGTAAAACTTGGTGCAGACAAGGTCAGTGTACAAGTAGGTGACGTCCACTGTAAAACATGGTGGAGACAAGGTCAGTGTACAAGTAGGTGACGTCCACTGTAAAACTTGGTGCAGACAAGGTCAGTGTACAAGTAGGTGACGTCCACTGTAAAACATGGTACAGACAAGGTCAGTGTACAAGTAGGTGACGTCCACTGTAAAACATGGTACAGACAAGGTCAGTGTACAAGTAGGTGACGTCCACTGTAAAACATGGTGCAGACAAGGTCAGTGTACAAGTAGGTGACGTCCACTGTAAAACATGGTGGAGACAAGGTCAGTGTACAAGTAGGTGACGTCCACTGTAAAACATGGTGCAGACAAGGTCAGTGTACAAGTAGGTGACGTCCACTGTAAAACATGGTGCAGACTAGGTCAGTGTACAAGTAGGTGACGTCCACTGTAAAACATGGTACAGACTAGGTCAGTGTACAAGTAGGTGACGTCCACTGTAAAACATGGTACAGACTAGGTCAGTGTACAAGTAGGTGACGTCCACTGTAAAACATGGTGCAGACTAGGTCAGTGTACAAGTAGGTGACGTCCACTGTAAAACATGGTGCAGACAAGGTCAGTGTACAGGAAGGTGACGTCCACTGTAAAACATGGTACAGACATGGTCAGTGTACAAGTAGGTGACGTCCACTGTAAAACATGGTACAGACTAGTTCAGTGTACAAGTAGGTGACGTCCACTGTAAAACTTGGTGCAGACAAGGTCAGTGTACAAGTAGGTGACGTCCACTGTAAAACATGGTGGAGACAAGGTCAGTGTACAAGTAGGTTACGTCCACTGTAAAACTTGGTGCAGACAAGGTCAGTGTACAAGTAGGTGACGTCCACTGTAAAACATGGTGGAGACAAGGTCAGTGTACAAGTAGGTTACGTCCACTGTAAAACATGGTACAGACTAGGTCAGTGTACAAGTAGGTGACGTCCACTGTAAAACATGGTACAGACTAGGTCAGTGTACAAGTAGGTTACGTCCACTGTAAAACTTGGTGCAGACAAGGTCAGTGTACAAGTAGGTGACGTCCACTGTAAAACATGGTGGAGACAAGGTCAGTGTACAAGTAGGTTACGTCCACTGTAAAACTTGGTGCAGACAAGGTCAGTGTACAAGTAGGTGACGTCCACTGTAAAACATGGTGGAGTGTACAAGGTCAGTGTACAAGTCAGGTACACGTCCACTGTAAAACATGGTACAGACTAGTTCAGTGTACAAGTAGGTGACGTCCACTGTAAAACATGGTGCAGACAAGGTCAGTGTACAAGAAGGTGACGTCCACTGTAAAACATGGTGCAGACTAGGTCAGTGTACAAGTAGGTGACGTCCACTTTAAAACATGGTACAGACTAGGTCAGTGTACAAGAAGGTGACGTCCACTGTAAAACATAGTGCAGACTAGGTCAGTGTACAAGTAGGTTACGTCCACTTTAAAACATAGTGCAGACTAGGTCAGTGTACAAGTAGGTGACGTCCACTGTAAAACATGGTACAGACTAGGTCAGTGTACAAGAAGGTGACGTCCACTGTAAAACATGGTACAGACCAGATCCGTGTACAAGTAGGTGACGTCCACTGTAAAACATGGTACAGACTAGATCAGTGTACAAGTAGGTGACATCCACTTTAAAACACGGTGCAGACAAGGTCAGTGTACAAGTAGGTGACGTCCACTGTAAAACATGGTACAGGTGCAGACAAGGTCAGTGTACAGTGTACAAGGTGACGTCCACTGTAAAACATGGTACAGACATGGTCAGTGTACATGAAGTAGGTGACGTCCACTGTAAAACATGGTACAGACTGGTCACGTCCACTGTCAGTGTACAAGTAGGTTACGTCCACTGTAAAACTTGGTGCAGACAAGGTCAGTGTACAAGTAGGTGACGTCCACTGTAAAACATGGTGGCAGACAAGGTCAGTGTACAAGTAGGTTACGTCCACTGTAAAACTTGGTGCAGACAAGGTCAGTGTACAAGTAGGTGACGTCCACTGTAAAACATGGTGGAGACAAGGTCAGTGTACAAGTAGGTTACGTCCACTGTAAAACATGGTACAGACTAGGTCAGTGTACAAGTAGGTGACGTCCACTGTAAAACATGGTACAGACTAGGTCAGTGTACAAGTAGGTTACGTCCACTGTAAAACTTGGTGCAGACAAGGTCAGTGTACAAGTAGGTGACGTCCACTGTAAAACATGGTGGAGACAAGGTCAGTGTACAAGTAGGTGACGTCCACTGTAAAACTTGGTGCAGAAAAATGTCCAGTGTACAAGTAGGTGACGTCCACTGTAAAACATGGTGCAGACAAGGTCAGTGTACAAGTAGGTGACGTCCACTGTAAAACATGGTGGAGACAAGGTCAGTGTACAAGTAGGTGACGTCCACTTTAAAACTTGCTGCAGACAAGGTCAGTGTACAAGAAGGTGACGTCCACTGTAAAACATGGTGCAGACTAGGTCAGTGTACAAGTAGGTGACGTCGACTTTAAAACATGGTACAGACTAGGTCAGTGTACAAGAAGATGACGTCCACTGTAAAACATGGTACAGACTAGGTCAGTATACAAGTAGGTTACGTCGACTTTAAAACATAGTGCAGACTAGGTCAGTGTACAAGTAGGTGACATCCACTGTAAAACATGGTACAGACTAGGTCAGTGTACAAGAAGGTGACGTCCACTGTAAAACATGGTACAGACCAGATCCGTGTACAAGTAGGTGACGTCTACTGTAAAACATGGTACAGACTAGGTCAGTGTACAAGAAGGTGACGTCCACTGTAAAACATGGTACAGACCTGATCCGTGTACAAGTAGGTGACGTCCACTGTAAAACATGGTACAGACTAGGTCAGTGTACAAGTAGGTGACGTCTACTGTAAAGCTAGTTACTAAAGGTCATCATGAAAACTCTTTTCAGTTTCTTGCGGTCCGGGCAAACAAGGACAGAACAACGTCTGCTCCCTTTGCCCTGCAGATACGTTCAAAGGCCAGTCTGGATTCGCCGTGTGCAGCCCCTGCACTGGCAGCAAAACGTCTGACGTGGCGAGAACCACCTGTACTCTAAGTAAGTAGGAGATCCCTCAAGGGCTAGTGTTGCAATATCTCATGTAATGCTAGTAAGTAGGAGATCCCTCAAGCGCCGGTGTTGCAGTATCTCATGTAATGTCAGTAAGTAGGAGATCCCTGCAATACCAGTGTTGCAGTATCTGATGTAATGCCAGTAAGTAGGAGATCCCTGCAATACCAGTGTTGCAGTATCTCATGTAATGCCAGTAAGTAGGAGATCCCTCAAGCGTCAGTGTTGCAGTATCTCATGTAATGTCAGTAAGTGGGAGATCCCTCAAGCGTCAGTGTTGCAGTATCTCATGTAATGCCAGTAAGTAGGAGATCCCTGCAATACGTCAGTGTTGCAGTATCTCATGTAATGTCAGTAAGTAAGAGATCCCTCAAGCGTCAATGTTGCAGTATCTCACGTAATGTCAGTAAGTAGGAGATCCCTGCAATACCAGTGTTGCAGTATCTCACGTAATGTCAGTAAGTAGGAGATCCCTGCAATACCAGTGTTGCAGTATCTGATGTAATGCCAGTAAGTAGGAGATCCCTCAAGCGTCAGTGTTGCAGTATCTCATGTAATGTCAGTAAGTAGGAGATCCCTCAAGCGCCGGTGTTGCAGTATCTGATGTAATGCTAGTAAGTAGGAGATCCCTCAAGCGTCAGTGTTGCAGTATCTCATGTAATGTCAGTAAGTAGGAGATCCCTCAAGCGCCGGTGTTGCAGTATCTCATGTAATGTCAGTAAGTAGGAGATCCCTCAAGCGCCGGTGTTGCAGTATCTCATGTAATGCCAGTAAGTAGGAGATCCCTCAAGCGCCGGTGTTGCAGTATCTCATGTAATGTCAGTAAGTAGGAGATCCCTCAAGCGCCGGTGTTGCAGTATCTCATGTAATGTCAGTAAGTAGGAGATCCCTCAAGCGCCGGTATTGCAGTAATGCCAGTATCTCATGTAGTATGTAATGTCAGTAAGTAGGAGATCCCTCAAGCGCCGGTGTTGCAGTATCTCATGTAATGCCAGTAAGTAGGAGATCCCTCAAGCGCCGGTGTTGCAGTATCTCATGTAATGTCAGTAAGTAGGAGATCCCTCAAGCGTCTGTGTTGCAGTATCTCATGTAATGTCAGTAAGTAGGAGATCCCTCAAGCGCCGGTGTTGCAGTATCTCATGTAATGTCAGTAAGTAGGAGATCCCTCAAGCGCCGGTGTTGCAGTATCTCATGTAATGTCAGTAAGTAGGAGATCCCTCAAGCGCCGGTGTTGCAGTATCTCATGTAATGTCAGTAAGTAGGAGATCCCTCAAGCGTCTGTGTTGCAGTATCTCACGTAATGTCAGTAAGTAGGAGATCCCTCAAGCGTCAGTGTTGCAGTATCTCATGTAATGCTAGTAAGTAGGAGATCCCTCAAGCGTCAGTGTTGCAGTATCTCATGTAATGTCAGTAAGTAGGAGATCCCTCAAGCGCCAGTAATGCAGTATCTCATGTAATGTCAGTAAGTAGGAGATCCCTCAAGCGCCGGTGTTGCAGTATCTCATGTAATGTCAGTAAGTAGGAGATCCCTCAAGCGCCGGTGTTGCAGTATCTCATGTAATGTCAGTAAGTAGGAGATCCCTCAAGCGCCGGTGTTGCAGTATCTCATGTAATGTCAGTAAGTAGGAGATCCCTCAAGCGCCGGTGTTGCAGTATCTCATGTAATGTCAGTAAGTAGGAGATCCCTCAAGCGTCAGTGTTGCAGTATCTCATGTAATGTCAGTAAGTAGGAGATCCCTCAAGCGCTCAGTGTTGCAGTATCTCATGTAATGTCAGTAAGTAGGAGATCCCTCAAGCGTCAGTGCAGTTGCAGTATCTCATGTTGCAGTATCTCGCGTAATGTAAGTAGGAGATCCCTCAAGCGCCGGTATCTCATGTAATGTCAGTAAGTAGGGAGATCCCTCAAGCGCCGGTGTTGCAGTATCTCATGTAATGTCAGTAAGTAGGAGATCCCTCAAGCGCCGGTGTTGCAGTATCTCATGTAATGTCAGTAAGTAGGAGATCCCTCAAGCGTCTGTGTTGCAGTATCTCACGTAATGTCAGTAAGTAGGAGATCCCTCAAGCGTCGGTGTTGCAGTATCTCATGTAATGTCAGTAAGTAGGAGATCCCTCAAGCGTCAGTGTTGCAGTATCTCATGTAATGCTAGTAAGTAGGAGATCCCTCAAGCGTCAGTGTTGCAGTATCTCATGTAATGCTAGTAAGTAGGAGATCCCTCAAGCGTCAGTGTTGCAATATCTCATGTAATGTTGTTTCTGGGATTGCTTTCCTAATGTTGAATTTATCACAAGTTACTGATGACGTTGCAGCGTTCTGTGACAAAGGTGTTGGTTATAACTCGACTTCAAAGACGTGCGCCGATTGTGCCAAAGGCTTCTATAAGCCCGCCAGGGGCAACACGGCCTGCACATCATGTTCCAAGAACTACACAACAACAGGCACCGGTACCAAAGACGCAACAGGCTGCAACCAGTGTAGGTATTTTAGTCTGTCTAGTACTGCTGCGTACTTGTACTCTAAAATCATAACATAAGCTATAGATTGCATTTGCTGTGAATTGCTGAATGGTGCATTGCCCTGAACCGAAGTTCATTGTGGTTAACCAGATCAACAAGAAGCTGTACATTATAATTATATCCCCTTAATACTGGGGAGCGGGCTATAGTACAGTGGTTCTGTCCGTCTGTCTGTGTGTCTGTCTCCACGGCAACAGGTTTGCCCTTGACTGTGTTTTTCAGTATTTTCGAAACCATCGCTTTTCATCAGTTTCCACTCACAATAACCAAATTGTAAAATAGATTCTATAATAAAATTCTTTACCTAAATGTAATATATGTTCAACTTCAACTAACTCCCATCTTTTCAAAATGGACCTGTATCATACAGATGCAAAGTTCCGAATGACAACTCACTCATATGTCATGTATTATTAGGTAAATACTCTCATATTAGACGGATAGATTAGGTGGGAATACTCTCATATTAGACGGATAGATTAGGTGGGAATACTCTCATATTAGACGGATAGATTAGGTGGGAATACTCTCATATTAGACGGATAGATTAGGTGGGAATACTCTCATATTAGACGGATAGATTAGGTGGGAATACTCTCATATTAGACGGATAGATTAGGTAGGAATACTCTCATATTAGATGGATAGATTAGGTGGGAATACTCTCATAATAGACGGATAGATTAGGTGGGAATACTCTCATATTAGACGGATAGATTAGGTGGGAATACTCTAATATTAGACGGATAGATTAGGTGGGAATACTCTCATATTAGACGGATAGATTAGGTGGGAATACTATCGGCAAGTTGTACAGACAACGTTTGTAGGACTTGCTATAGCAATCAGACGATTGGTCCTTCACATTACTGTGGTCTGGGAGGGTATGGCGTCTCTCATGGCTCTTTGAATAATTGCTCAGCGTTGGAAATCACGTCTGTTATTACACTGAAGTGTTTCAAACTGTCAGGTGTTTCCGCTAATGATTGCTTGTGTCATGGTATGATGGAACTATGCAAATGTATTGTGTCGTGTATATATTTTATTGCTATGTCTTGACCCTGTGGTATGACTGTTTATTTCCAGTGAACTGTGAGCCTGGATTCTTTGCCCATCAGACAGCCACATGCACACCGTGCCCTACAGGGTACTACAAGGCCGCTGTGGGGACGGAGAACTGCACCAAGTGTGATGCAGGCATGACCACGCAAGCAGAGGGTTCAACTGCCTCGACCGCCTGCAGCCTGAGTAAGGACGAGTCTGTTAACATGGCACTTGGTTTTGGAACTGGGTCTTAACTTCCCCTGGCCTTATGTAGGTGTTGGTGAGGATGGCACGGGACTTATGTAGGTGTTGGTGAGGGTGGCACGGGAGTTTATGTAGGTGTTGGTGAGGGTGGCACGGACTTATGTAGGTGTTGGTGAGGGTGGCACGGGGCTTATGTAGGTGTTGGTGAGGGTGGCACGAGACTTATGTAGGTGTTGGTGAGGGTGGCACGAGACTTATGTAGGTGTTGTTGAGGGTGGCACGGGGCTTATGTAGATATTGGTGAGGATGGCACGGGACTTATGTAGGTGTTGGTGAGGGTGGCACGGGACTTATGTAGGTGTTGCTGAGGGTGGCACGAGACTTATGTAAGTGTTGGTGAGTGTGGCACGGGACTTATGTAGGTGTTGGTGAAGGTGGCACGAGACTTATGTAGGTGTTGGTGAGGGTGGCACGAGACTTATGTAGGTGTTGGTGAGGGTGGCACGAGACTTATGTAGGTGTTGAGGGTGAGGGACTGGTACGAGACTTATGTTTATGTAGGTGTTGGTGAGGGTGGCACGAGACTTATGTAGGTGTTGGTGAGGGTGGCACGGGGCTTATGTAGGTGTTGGTGAGGGTGGCACGAGACTTATGTAGGTGTTGGTGAGGGTGGCACGGGACTTATGTAGGTGTTGGTGAGGGTGGCACGGGACTTATGTAGGTGTTGGTGAGGGTGGCACGAGACTTATGTAGGTGTTGGTGAGGGTGGCACGGGACTTATGTAGGTGTTGGTGAGGATGGCACGGGACTTATGTAGGTGTTGGTGAGGGTGGCACGAGACTTATGTAGGTGTTGGTGAGGGTGGCACGAGACTTATGTAGGTGTTGGTGAGGGTGGTAGGCACGAGACTTATGTAGGTGTTGGTGAGGGTGGCACGAGACTTATGTAGGTGTTGTTGTGAGGGTGGCTTACGAGGTGTTGACTTATGTAGGTGTTGGTGAGGATGGCACGGGACTTATGTAGGTGTTATGTGAGAGTGGCACAGAGACTTATGTAGGTGTTGGTGAGGGTGGCACGAGACTTATGTAGGTGTTGGTGAGGGTGGCACGAGACTTATGTAGGTGTTGGTGAGGGTGGCACGAGACTTATGTAGGTGTTGGTGAGGGTGGCACGGGACTTATGTAGGTGTTGGTGAGGGTGGCACGGGACTTATGTAGGAGTTGGTGAGGGTGACACGAGACTTATGTAGGTGTTGGTGAAGGTGGTACGGGGCTTATGTAGGTGTTGGTGAGGAGGCACGGGACATATGCAGGTGTCGGAGAGAAGTGACTTGTGACTTATGCTGGTGTTGTTATATTTCAGAGGTGTGTCCTGCTGGCGAGTACAGAATTGCGGCCAACACCTGTCAGAAGTGTGCAGTAGGGGAATACCAGAATGACACAGGACAGACACAGTGTTCTAAGTGTGGCACTGGATTCACCACAAAACTGACAGGATCGACGACTGAAACCGACTGCTTGAGTATGTTTCAGAGTGATACGCCAGTTCCGTTCCACTAAATATGAAAACACGACTGTTAATGTCACCGCGTCGTGATGGCACCTCGCAGAAATATTGTAATTCAGGGGCACTTTGTGTGGCGTGGTAATAACTCCAAGTGCCAAGCGGGAATCAAATTGGAACAAAACACTAATATCTCTTTCTGTGTGCTGTCACTCAGGATGCCGTTCCAGGAAATTATTTAACCTTCGAATCAGCATGTGTTGAGGACTGAATCCAGATTAAGTATTCTGCTAGAAGTGACAACCTGGTAACCATTGCCACGCCACATACAATATGATTAAACCGAATGGGTGTTCGCTTGACAGATGATCTTCACGGTGACGCTTTTCACGTATACCTTTTCACACATGTTAGTGAATAAGATATCTATGTTATCAGCACCAGGACGTGAACAATATGTTAAGGTGTAGCATTAAGTACGTTCTGTTATGTCATGTTCTGCTAGTAATCGAATGTGGACCAGACAACCCAGTGACTGGGGTGGGGGTGGGGGTGGGGCGGACACCTGCCAGGTTGCGTGAATCCAGCTGTATCCCTGAGTCATTGTGGGGTTGTTTTCATGTTGTTTCTCGCATCCTGTGTTGTTTCGTGAAAGAGGTAAGGGTCAAACCACTTCATGATATCACGACCAGGTGACACAGACGTTTGCTTGTGTGTTATTGCAGGGGTGTGTGGTGTGGGGAATTATCGGAGTTCTCGTACTGAGTGTAGTGTCTGTGTCGTGGGAACGTATCAGCCCAACACCGGCGCTGAGGCCTGCGTCAACTGCACCACTGGCTTCACCACTTCCAACAACGGGTCGGCAGCAGCGACCGACTGCTACAGTGAGTACAACAGTTCTTGTGATATACGCAGGATTATAATAATGATAAAAGTTAAAATAGTGTAAACATTGTAGGTGGCTTGACTTGATGCCTCCCTGAAACAATTCTTCCTACGTACCTTGAACAGACAACAATGGTTTAGCCATACTCGACTTGATGCCTCCCTGAAACAATTCTTCCTACGTACCTTGAACAGACAAAAGTGGGTCCTAGCCATACCTTTAGCCATGTCGACTCCATTCATACAGACATGTTTACTTTGAACAGACCCAATGCCTCATTCATACAGACATGTAACTTTCCAATACCTTTTGTGCCTGACTTACAATACCTGTTTGAACCATCCCTTGCTGAAATAAGCGCTTTGAATGTCGTAAGAGAAAATTTGTTGAACTGCAGTACTGGGTGTACCATAGCTGACCGCAGACGTGGTCTAGTGGATCCTGGGCCGTGTCATACTAAATGTTAATCGAGGGTATTTGTTGTTACTCTGCCTTGATATAAAATAATGACTCGGAGCCACTTACTGTGTTAGAGTTGCTTGCGCCATCTACCGGCATACATCCGGACCAGTACAAGCCATTCCCCTGCACATACAGATAAATAGATAGATAGATATTGCGCACGTCTGCATGTACACACACACACACACACACACACTTACATGTACGTCAATAGTTGAGCATGGATAACAATTTCTTATTTATTGCATAGAGCAACATTTCAGTGTAGACTCTTAAATCAAATGCTCAGAGTGTAAAAGAGCGAATTGCTAATATTGAAACAATGGATGATATACATAACATCAGGTCGCCATTGCACTGTCCGTTCACTGAAGATGAAATCCATGGTACAGTAAAACGACTTAGCCCTATATCTGCATCAAGTATCTGTGAGCGGGTAATCTCATCATGTGGCCTCTGTGGATGCAACGTATGGGGTAAACTTCCTCTCAAAGAGTATGAAATGATTGAAGTTGTACAACGACAATTTTGTTAAAACGTTCAGGGACTACACAAGCCCTCTACCTATTAGGAAAGTTATGTAATGCCAATTATAACAGTTTTTAAAGTAATGTTTGTAGTTCGCCTGGATCGATTTATGTGTTCAGATAGTTCTACATGCAACGGATGTAGTAGGAAACTTGTAAATATGTATAACGTAAACGATATACTTGCTAACTATGTCAATAATCGCAAAGAAGAATGACCAGTCAACTGATATTGCAGGACTTGTATTCTATGGATCAGCTGAAATTGTTTCTTGAGAATGTTATTGTAAAACTGCCTCTAATGGGATCTAGTGAAATGGGCCGATGGAAAAAGGCAAATTTGCCAATGGAAAAACTCCAGTGGGTCGTGAAAAATTTGAAAAGGGCCATATTCTTAGGCATATGGGCCGACCAAAAAAAATAAACACATGTTTTTCATTTTTTATTGACATATATAGCATTAAAACATTGTATGATAACAATAATAAAACGGTAATTGCCAAGCATGTCCTTGCACTTAATGGCAGTACATATACTTCATAATTTAAAGTCCTCAAGCATTAAGCGTTCCACTTGATAACCACTTCTTATTTATTGCATAGAGCGACGTTTCGGTGTAGACTCTTACATTTAGCTTGAAAACGGCATGAGAATCTACACCGAAACGTCGCTCTATGCAATACATAAGAAGTGGTTATCAAGTCGTATGTTTTATTACTGACTCCCCAGCATCTAGAATGCTGACAGAACGATTACCTGTACGATTACCTGTCCGATTACCTGTCCGATTACCTGTACGTTGCTACATAAGTCCAGCAATGGTGACTTCGACGCCAATCTTCATCTCCCCTCAGTATGTGATACACTTGTACTTTCAGCATTGCAAATGTGTTAACTTACCTCTACGTACAGTTTTGTATGAACGCAGTTGTCACAATGTCGGCATGGTAGTTGATAATGTCTTAATCTGTGTGACTGCATTCCAGGACTATGTCCGGCTGGGGAGTATCGTCCAGACAGTGACCGCACAGCATGCAACAAATGTACGCTTGGTACGTACCAGCCTTCAAGTGGCAAGACAAGCTGCATCAGCTGCTCGCCTCCGGGTTACACCACGCTGCAGATGGGCTCCATGCAGTCGACGGATTGCATGCGTAAGTGATTTGTTTACTGCAGGCGATGTAAGTGAACAGAAGCTGGGAACTAGTTCAGGAAGGCATTGATACATAGGAGATACTATACAAAGTAGGTTCTCTTACAGACTCGTATCCTCTAGTGCCTACACGATGCTGCCATTCATTGCTCACGGCATAATCTTTAAAGAGTCATAGCTAGTGCATGATTCATACAGAATGCGTTACACAATATGACTGATCTAAAAGTACATATTCATTTAGATTTTGTCATTGAATGCTGTAGAAAAATAAGTTTAGATGTAAATACGTCTGCATCCTCTTACAAAACTTTGTCTCCCTCTTCATTGGCCTCCACTGACTCATCCGAGTTTACATTTGAATCCGTTCACAATGATCATAACCTTGTGTAGACAACAAAGAACTGTATCTTCCGATCTCACTGACGCCGTGCTGTTATGACAGTAAAGAAATACTACAGAAGTATCAAAAGATAGTGTTTTCTCTAATGTTTCTAATGTTTTCTCTCAATTCAAAAGTAAGGTGTCAGCGCTGTGCATGACAGTAAGTGTTCTGCAAGTATTTTTCATTTGTGAATCATTATCAAATCATTGGCCCCAACCCACTGTGGTGTTCTTCCAGCTACCTGTGCAGCGGGGAAATACCTGAATGTGACGTCACGCTCGTGTATGCCGTGTCCCCTGGGCACCTTCCTGCCCTCAGCAGGAACCACCCAGCAGTGTCGCCAGTGCCCCACAGGCAAGACGACGACCTTGACTGGTTCAACTCAGGAAGCCAACTGTGACCTAGGTACATCACCGTCACACACTAATGAGTTCTTTTATTTGGAGAAACAATACAGCTGGGTGCGACATGCCAGTAATTGCAAACTATGCAAAAATGTTTTATTGTAAATAAATAATAAATAAAATAAGATTTTATGATCGTCCAATTGTTCTAGGTAACCTGAGTTATGCGCCCTGCCATGACATCTTCAACCTAACCGCCACCCACAGTAATGCTATTGAATCAGGTGTTCTTTCAGCTTATACATTTGTTTAACGTTGCTACTATTATCTGCTACCAGAACAAAGCTGTATATCAAGAGATACAATCGCAGTGCTCGTATGGCTCCATCCGTTTGCTTGATAAATCACCGCTGATAGTGTTTCAATTTTATGAATTATCATTGTCTCAAGCGTTTCTCGTCAATACTTATTCAAGTGTTGGGATGGAAGATTTGCCCGATAATCTAAATATGGAAAGAAATAAACAATAAAAGTACTTGTCCAAGATGTGGTCATAAGTGTGATCGGGTCTTCTTCAGTTGACTGTGAGCCAGGTTACTACAGGAAAGAGAACCAGGGTTGTCTGCCATGCGGCAAGGGATACTACCAGCCGACCAAAGGACAGATCTCTTGTATCAAGTGTGATGTGACCACGACTACATTAATTATTGTAACTACCGCCACATCGAAAGACCAGTGTATCGGTAAGAACTGGCTACATGGAGGTAGAACGGAACCATTGAACTTTATCACGAATAACTGGATTAGGATTCATTAGAACGATTTGTTCGGAGCCAGCAATAGTTGTGTATTCATGCCACATTGTCCCCACATTATCACCACATTGTCACCACATTGTCCCCACATTGTCACCACACTGTCCCGACATTGTCACCGCACTATCACCACATTGTCACCGCACTATCCCCACATTGTCACCACACAATCCCCACATTGTCACCACACTGTCCCGACATTGTCACCGCACTATCACCACGTTGTCCCCACTGTTGTCCCCACATTGTCACCGCACTATCCCCACATTGTCACCACATTGTCCCCACATTGTCACCACACTATCACCACATTGTCACCACATTGTCACCACATTGTCCCCACATTGTCACCGCACTATCCCCACATTGTCACCACATTGCCCCACATTGTCGCCACACTATCACCACACTATCACCAAATTGTCCCCACATTGTCACCACATTATCACCACATTATCATCACATTGTCACCACATTGTCACCACATTGTCACCACATTATCACCACATTGTCCCCACATTGTCCCCACATTGTCACCACATTGTCACCACATTGTCACCACATTGTCCCCACATTGTCCCCACATTGTCACCACATTGTCACCACATTGTCCCCACATTGTCACCACATTGTCACCACATTGTCCCCACATTGTCCCCACATTGTCACCACATTGTCCCCACATTGTCACCGCACTATCACCACATTGTCACCACATTGTCACCACACTATCACCACACTATATCCACATTGTCACCACATTGTCCCCACATTGTCACCGCACTATCACCACGTTGTCCCCACATTGTCCCCACATTGTCACCGCACTATCCCCACATTGTCACCACATTGTCCCCACATTGTCACAACACTATCACCACACTTTCACCACATTGTCCCCACATTGTCACCACATTGTCACCGCATTGTCACCACACTATCACCACATTGTCCCCACATTGTCCATTGTCCACATTGTCACCACCGCACTATCCCCACATTGTCACCAAATTGTCCCCACATTGTCCCCACATTATCACCACATTATCATCACATTGTCACCACATTGTCACCACATTGTCACCACATTATCACCACATTGTCCCCTACATTGTCCACATTGTCCCCACATTGTCCCCACATTGTCACCACATTGTCCCCACACATTGTCCACCACATTGTCACCACATTGCCACCACCACATTGTCCCCACATTGTCACCACATTGTCACCACATTGTCCCCACATTGTCCCCACATTGTCACACCACATTGTCCCAACATTGTCACCGCACTATCACCACGTTGTCCCCACATTGTCCCCACTATCATTGTCACCACTATCACTATCCCCACATTGTCACCACTATCACCACGTTGTCCCCACATTGTCCCCAAATTGTCACCGCACTATCCCCACATTGTCACCACATTGTCCCCACATTGTCACCACACTATCACCACACTATCACCACATTGTCACCACATTGTCCCCACATTGTCCCCACATTGTCACATTGTCACCACATTGTCCCCACATTGTCATTGTCACCACATTGTCACCACATTGTCCCCACATTGTCACCACATTGTCCCCACATTGTCCCCACATTGTCACCACATTGTCACCACATTGTCACCACATTGTCACCACATTGTCCCCACATTGTCACCACATTGTCCCCACATTGTCACCGCACTATCACCACGTTGTCCCCACATTGTCCCCACATTGTCACCGCACTATCCCCACATTGTCACCGCACTATCACCACGTTGTCCCCACATTGTCCCCAAATTGTCACCGCACTATCCCCACATTGTCACCACATTGTCCCCACATTGTCACCACACTATCACCACACTATCACCACATTGTCCCCACATTGTCCCCACATTGTCACCACATTGTCCCCACATTGTCCCCACATTGTCACCACATTGTCACCACATTGTCACCACATTGTCCCCACATTGTCACCACATTGTCACCACATTGTCCCCACATTGTCCCTACATTGTCACCGCACTATCACCACATTGTCCCCACATTGTCACTGCACTATCACCACATTGTCACCACATTGTCCCCACATTGTCACCGCACTATCACCACATTGTCACCACATTGTCCCCACATTATCACCACACTATCACCACATTATCACCACATTGTCACCACATTGTCCCCACATTGTCACCGCACTATCCCCACATTGTCACCACATCGTCACTGTTGTTTCTCCCTGTCCATGCACCTTTCAAACCTGACATAATTATATGTAGCTGGACTGTGACCTTCAATCGTAATGTGAAGGGCTATATTGCAGGTTTGTAAAGACATATTTTGAATTCAACATATGTTATATAAGATCATAAGGATGGCATATGAAAATATGTACTAAATGTGTTGTTCCTCTATGGCATTAAAAACGGTTTATTGGAACATACAAGGCAGAGTGCTCGTTTTTCAGATGACTGTCAGGAAGGAAAAGAATATAATCAACTAAAACGAGTGTGTGTTGACTGTCCAATCGGTGAGATTCGGAATCCCAGTATGAGCGACTATTGCCTATTCTGCCCTGCTGGACAGACTACTGCATTCGCAGGATCGACGACCTGCGTAGCTTTCCCGGGTGAGATATGGATGTTACTTTCTTCACATATATAAGTTCTCAGATGTAGTTTAACTTCTGGGGTATGTTGGAACGTCTTGCACCTGTTTTACCTTGAGCTGTGTAGTTATGCTATCTGGGTTCCCCTCCTTTTGCAGCGTCCACACCTGCACCTTTGCTGAGGACAGTGAGAGTCCGGATGATATTCAGGGTAACTAGCTGCACTAATCCCACTTTGATTCACGGCACGATCATAGCCGAGATCAGACGATTAGTCGTTATTCGAGCCAGAGAGTTCCCCAGCCTCTGCCGGGTCAGTTCATGTGGCAACATTGCTATCATCTTCATCGTTGGCTGTGGAGGTACCCGTGCCAAGAGACAGACAACATCTTCCGTTACAGCGGAACTGACGGCGTCAAATCTCCCGTAGGTGCAAACTCCTTCTATTAGCAGTAATACGATTTGTATATGTATGAATATGCATGGGGGTCAATGTCACATAGCGTATTTTGTCATTGAATAATAATTGTTTAATGCGATATCCCTTATCACGTATTCCACGAGGTTTCCGGTTGAGGACACTGGTACCTGGGGCGCGATCCACAAAATGGTCGTAACGTTACGACCTGTCGTAACTCTACAGTTTATCATTGGCTTACGAATGTCTTAGCGAACGTTTTGCTATCAGGGTCCTGGCTGCCCCAGCTTGTCCTAACAGACGATTGAAAAGGTTGATTGGCCAGGCAAATCCTATCGTATCCAGGTTGCATGGATCGATGTCCGTGATGTCGATCACTGGATTGTCTGGTTCAGGCTAGACACATCGGTGTCATATAGTTGACATATTGGTGAAATTCATGTTCAGAACAATGACATATGTTTGTATTTTGATGACAGGGAGAGAATCCCCAACACAGGCAACACTGTGACGAGAAGTCCGGAGTCGCTGTTGACGCAGGCGCTGGCTGCTAACACTACCGTCGCCCCAGCACTGGTAAGAACAAACACCTGATTTCGTGAGTGAATCCCGCATGTAAGCAGGCTCATCCGATTAATCCCATTTGATTGTGGGACACTGTTTAAGCCTTTATGTAAATTGGACTCTTCACAAGACTGGAATTATAAGATGTCGATATTTCAGTAACACGACAAGACCATTTCCATGATTGTAAATACACAATGCATTTAGAAAGTAGTCAAATGTTACATATGTTATATGTGTGTTTATACTTTCTTAGTAAAGACAGTACAGATTATATTACATTTGTTGAGTCCTATGCGGGATTCGAACCCAGAGTTGGGACTCAACCCAACAAAAGTACTAGAATCTGTACTGTCTTACTAAGAAAGTGTAATCACAAATATAACATATGTTACAATTTTTTCTTATCCTGATTCATGATCTTTTGCTTATCTCCCTTTCCTTTTCGAATGGTAGGGGAACACTTGAATCCCTTGAAGTTGCCGAAGCGGACGGAAAAATACAGTCACCCACGAGTAACCTCCCTTTTGCCCTTTTCCCACGCAAACAGTCATGTTACCAGCCTTACTTGTCACTCTCTCCCTTTTCGGCGAGCACTGGAGTCCTTTATACGGCATTATATCCTTTTCATTTATGTCTTATTCTTCAAAATTACGCTGTATATGGATTTGGCAATAACTACTATGTATTATATGTACAAAATTTTAAAAGTTATTTGTATTTGTGTCTTTATTTCATCGTTATGTAACTTTGTTTACATTTCATGAAATCTTGCAGTGTTTGCAGGCACAGGTTATCCGTGGCTGATCCTCACCCCAAGTGCCCTTCGTGCATAAAACCATGTTCTTCCAGCTTGTGCTGTACTTATTGTGTTGATTTAATCAATTTAATCAATATTTCTTATATCTATAGACGTGCCATGGATCGGGTGAGAAAGTCATCTCAAGTTACGGCTGATAAAACACGAGATCAGCCTTCAAACCGTATGTTGCTTGCTACTGCTGAATTTCAAAATACTGGTGCTATGTTTAGTGCGTTGGAGGGGCAGTCTGCTGGTACGGGTGCCAAGAAGAGATCGGCTACAACGCAGCTGACTCCGACTCAGGCTAAGAAAAAGACGTCATCTTCTTCTACATCGCATAAGAAAGCATCCGTTACCGGATCGGAGCGTAAATCTACGCAGCAGAAATCCTTCAACGAAGAGATATAACCTCCACATGAAGTAGAGGTTTTTTATGACACCCCCACCCCACCCCACCCCCCGTTACTTCTACCCAAAGTACCTATGAAATCGGGGACTCAACCGACTTCTACAACTACTAGATCGTCCCCTGCAACGGTCACAGCAGGCCGGCTGTTTGACGAACTACCACCTACTTCTCAACGGAGTGAAGATGAGGCGCAGAACTCATCAGCGTTTGCGAACGCTTCATCTACACCGCAGCAGCTTCAACCAACGCAGAACTTTGACTCGGGCGAATGTATGAGACAATTCACCAACCAGATGATGGCCATGACGGAACGTAGGTTCGAGGAGGAAGCGAAGACTCGGCGAAGCCTCTCATCTACCGACACCGTGCGCAAACCTACGGACATGTGCGAACCTACAGACCTGCGCGAACCTACTCCTCATAGAACTACGTCTCAAGACTACGTTGGCGAACGTACACCTTTGCGAAGGTCTCCACAGTCGGACGACTCTGTCATCTTGGAAGGGGGGATAGAAGAGATGAGATGCCTACTCACAGTTCCACATCCGCGAACCCTCAACGTTCGAGAACATTGAAGGATCCATCTCCCAGACCTAGCCGTTCTAGATCGAGATCTCATATCTCTCACAGACGTTCGCGAAGTAACTCATCACGAGACAGACGTTCACTAAGAGAAAGCTCACATCGCAGAAATTTGTGAAGAGTAAATATACAGATAGAGGTTCGCAAAGAGAGCACTCTCAAGATAGACGTTCGCATAGGGAGGAATCTTCAGATAGAGGTTCGCGAAAGGATGATGAAGGTTCCAGAAGGGATACAAGTTTGCAGATGGATGAGTCGCAGAGGCCTAGCTCTAATAATCAGGAGACTCTGGATCAGCAAGCAGACTTCGTCTTCCCAGACTCAGATGTTACAGCGTGGATTGCCAGCGGGCTGAACTTGGAGTCTCCTTCTAAGGATAAAGATGAAGTCTACACTTATATGATGCCTAACGACGATTGACTCCGTCACTATCCCTCCGATTGAACCTATATCCAAGGTACCCTCTAACCTACGTACAGCTTTCGCGAAAGCATCCAAGTACCAAAGTCAGCATCTGCCATCATTTTATGTGAAGAGATTCCCCTTACATCATATGGATCCATTTACAAAGGCGCCTGAATGGGATGATAACATAAAGTTAGTCAACAACTCCCGAAACAAGATGTATAAAGTGGAAGATAAAAAGTTATCTCAACTTGATACTGCTACAAGGAGATCCTTCTTCGGGTTGGCCAGGTCCAGAGCCATCAATGAAGCATTGATCAATCAATTCCAGAACTCAAGTTCGGAAGAGGATAGAATGATATTTTCGGCCCTCATAACACAGAAGAAGAACCAGTACTTTTAATCTGACCATCTGGCATCTATATCTGCAGGTCTCACTTTACAACACAGACAAGGGCTACTTTCATCCTGTTCATGGAGTGATAGATTCACCCAACCGCTACTGACAGCTCCATGGGAGGCGCTTACTTTCTTTGGATGACATATAGACGATGCAGCTAAGCAAGCTACGCACGACTCTAGAGATGTTATGATGATAAATCCATAGATATTTCGGCCATGCGTATCTACACATCCCCATACATCCGGAATCAAGAAAGTATCTACCAGTCCTATTTAGAGGGCAGCACTTCCAATGGAACGTCCTACCGTTTGGAATATCTTCGTCTCCGTGACTATTCACACGAGTAACCAAGCCTATAGTCACATATCTACATCATCGAGGTCTACCCAATGCCTTCTACTTGGACGACGGAATTCACGTTCACCAAGATGCCAGTCACCTCAGACTACAGCTGAACTTCACGATCAAGTTGCTCACTCAACTAGGATGGCTGGTGAACCTTATGAAGTCAGAGTTGGAACCAAAACAAGATTTGCAATTTCTTGGGATAAGGTTTATAACAACACAGAATCGTATTGTCGTCCCAGAAGATCGTTTGGTCAATATACAAGCCATTATTCCACCAGCAGTCATCTCTCCGTTAACACTATGATCATGGCAAGTTCTACTCGGTCTACTTACCTCGGCGCAGGTCTTGACTCGCACAGGAAGGTTACAACTAAGACAGCTGCAAAACATCTAGACAGCGTTGACCCCATCTCGCTTCCAGACAACCTCAAGGGGTATCTACTGTAGTGGACGCACAGGTCGAACGTTTGTTGAGAGACCTATTTACAAGAGCCGGCCTTCGACACACATCTCTGCATAGACGCTTCGATGCAGGGCTGGGGTGCGCATCTCAGCAATCAAGTCGCTGAACAACAGAATGCTGATGGTCCACACGGACAACTCTACAGTGGCATTCCCCATAAATCGGCAAGGATCCACAAGGTCTCCAAGCCTGCTACAGCTCACATTCGAGTGTTTTCTTTGTTACATTGTTACATCCAGTATATATACACTTCCCCCTTCTTCATGTTCCATTATGCTTGACAACGGTAAAAGAATCTGTATCGAAACGTCGCACTCACCAATAAAAAGAAGTTGTTATCCATAAAGTTTGTCCTATATTGTACTTCCCAACTTCTAAAATGCCACTCAAAGAAATTCACTAATTTGGTCCTCTCGTTGTCGCACAGCAACTAACTGTTCCTCAAAGGCGCTGAGTAGGAAAATCTCACCCTTTATCATGTTGACTTGTTGATAAAAGATAAAGTATTAGTTTGAAAGTCCATGTGCACAGTCTAGGACAGACTAGCATGAGTGATTAAAGATCCTGTACGGGTAAAGATCTTACCTGTAATTGAAGGGATCGCAACTCATTTATGATAAAGATCTTATCATGGGGAATGGGTGGGGAATACAGAACGTATCTAAGGAACTCTGATGAATCCACGAAGTGACCTGACCCACCACCAATACATCGTATTCTATAAGCAAAAGATCACGAGTCAGGATAACAAAAAATATGTAATTTTTCAAGTAAAATTGATATTTTTATACTTATCCTGACTCAAGACGAGAAGCCCTTCCAACCTCCCAGCTGAAAACACTGTGGATTTCACAGCAGATCCATATGCATGGGCAGAAAATCAGGAGAGAGTGACAAGTAAGGCTGGTCACATGACTGTTTGCGTGGGAAAAGGGATTTAAAAAGGAGGTAACTCGTGGGTGAGTGTATTTTTCCGTCCGCTTCGGGAACTTCAAGGGATTCAAGTGTTCCACTACCATTCGGAAAGGGAGATAAGCAAAAGATCATGAGTCAGGATAAGTATAAAAATATCAATTTTACTTGAAAGATTACATTTTCCATGTTTGTTAGAACTTTCTGTCTGAAGCAGGGACTTTTGTGTAAGGAGTAATCTCTTCCAACAGGCACATATTGACATGTTTAGTCTCAGCGTGGACTTGTTATGTAGCTGAGGTTGTTTACGATTGTAGACTGTAGAAACTGTAGGGTTTCCGTGAGGAAGTTATCTGGTACCATGGTGGCTCCTGAGAGTTGTTACACCACTGACAGACCAACTTAGAGCGTTATAGATGTGTAGAGACACTGTATTGACTTATAACATGTACAGGGACGATGTACTATAGCAGAAATACCTATACATGGTGTTACAGGCTGCCGCTGGCATTACAGTCAACTCCATAGACCCTCCAACAACAACGACGTCTTGCAGCCCAGGTTCAGTGCTGAATTCTGGAACGTGTGGTTAGTACTCATCGGAACTGTATCTCAGTACTGTAATTTATCATCCAAAACTGTGTTCCACAGGAGATATCGCTTGTGTGGGATTATATGATATCTCCTAGGAGATATCGTTTTGACAGTAGATTTTGTACTATGCACTAATGCTATGACGTCATTTACTTGATGACGTCACAATGCTATGACATCACTGCACTGCAAGTCTTATGGTAGTACAGTGTTGAGAGATATACATTTTTCATTGAAAATTAACGAAGAGTGATTTTTGATGATAAATAGAATCTCACCCTCGTGTCTACTGATATCAATTATATCAACACTTGTTGATAAAGGTAAAAATATCCTCGGCAAGCCTCGGATATTTGTAACTTTATCAACTCAAGTTGATATAATTGATATCAGCAGACACTTTGGTGAGATTCTGTATCTATTCAATTTTGAATATAATTTATGCTTTAGAAAGGTTCCGTCAATATTCAGTATAGTATCTGGACTGCATCACACCGTCAGTATATAAAAACAAGATGCAGGTCCAATATATTGTATAAAATTTGTTGAATCGTGAATCGGAGATACCGATATGCACCAATGTCCTGTCATACTTAAAGTGGTTTGATTGCAGTGCCCTGCCCAGTAGGCACAAAACATGACACAACTTCAGGGTCCTGCAAGGACTGTGAAATCAGTCAGTACCAAGACCAGACTGGACAAGTCTCCTGCAAGGCCTGTGCAGGCAAACTGTCTACCAGCGGAACGAAGAGCAACAACGTATCTTATTGTGTCTGTGAGTTGTGGTCACAATGCTTCTTCCTCCTTCCTCAGAGTATATTTTTTGTGCTTAAATTAATCAAGGGTTTGGGAAACTTGGCATTACTGATAGACGTCTTTCTAGGACTGTTCTGGAGTCAGATTGACAACACATACAGCAGTAAAGACAGCGTGTATGTACTGACCAAGAAACATAGACCACAATGTGTGTGACAGCCATGCAGTATGGCTTCATGGCAATCATTCAGTAATACTAAGTAGATCTTTCACGTACAACTAAAACTGCTTTCACAATAATCTACAAATGACACATGTACATCCGTATTATCTTTGCAGCCAAGTGTAAACTGGAGACAGGATATTGCAAAAACAACGGCATCTGTAGGGACGGTACAGATGGATCAGTGAGCTGTGACTGCAGTGAATACTACACCGGTGACACCTGTACTGTCCGGCGATGTGAGTAACTGTAGAACACACCATGCATAGAACATACTGCAGTAACTGTAGAACACACCACACATAGAACATACTGCAGTAACTGTAGAACACACCACACATAGAACATACTGAAGGAATTGTAGAACACACCACACATAGAACATACTGCAGTAACAGTAGAACACACCACACATAGAACATACTGCAGTAACTGTAGAACACACCACACAGAGAACATACTGCAGTAACTGTAGAACACACCATGCATAGAACATACTGCAGTAACTGTAGAACACACCACACATAGAACATACTGCAGTAACTGTAGAACACACCACACATAGAACATACTACAGGAATTGTAGAACACACCACACATAGAACATACTGCAGTAACTTTAGAACACACCACACATAGAACACACTGCAGTAACTGTAGAACACACCACACATAGAACACACTGCAGTAACTGTAGAACACACCACACATAGAACATACTGCAGTAACAGTAGAACACACCACACATAGAACACACTGCAGTAACTGTAGAACACACCACACATAGAACACACTGCAGTAACTGTAGAACACACCATGCATAGACATACTGCAGTAACTGTAGAACACACCACACATAGAACACACTGCAGTAACTGTAGAACACACCATGCATAGAACATACTGCAGTAACTGTAGAACACACCATGCATAGAACATACTGCAGTAACTGTAGAACACACCACACATAGAACACACTGCAGTAACTGTAGAACACACCACACATAGAACACACTGCAGTAACTGTAGAACACACCACACATAGAACACACTGCAGTAACTGTAGAACACACCACACATAGAACACACTGCAGTAACTGTAGAACACACCACACATAGTACATACTGCAGTAACTGTAGAACACACCACACATAGAACATACTGCAGTAACTGTAGAACACACCACACATAGAAGATACTGCAGTAACTGTAGAACACACCACACATAGTACATACTGCAGTAACTGTAGAACACACCACACATAGTACATACTGCAGTAACAGTAGAACACACCACACATAGTACATACTGCAGTAACTGTAGAACACACCACACATAGAACATACTGCAGTAACTGTAGAACACACCACACATAGTACATACTGCAGTAACTGTAGAACACACCACACATAGAACATACTGCAGTAACTGTAGAACACACCACACATAGTACATACTGCAGTAACAGTAGAACACACATTCACACATAGTAACATACTGCAGTAACTGTAGAACACACCACACATAGAACATACTGCAGTAACTGTAGAACACACCACACATAGAACATACTGCAGTAACTGTAGAACACACCACACATAGAACATACTGCAGTAACTGTAGAACACACCACACATAGAACATACTGCAGTAACTGTAGAACACACCACACATAGAACATACTGCAGTAACTGTAGAACCCACCACACACACATAGAACATACTGCAGTAACTGTAGAACACACCACACATAGAACATACTGCAGTAACTGTAGAACACACCACACATAGAACATACTGCAGTAACTGTAGAACACACCACACATAGAACATACTGCAGTAACTGTAGAACACACCACACATAGAACATACTGCAGTAACTGTAGAACACACCACACATAGAACATACTGCAGTAACAGTAGAACACACCACACATAGAACATACTGCAGTAACTGTAGAACACACCATGCATAGAACATACTGCAGTAACTGTAGAACACACCACACATAGAACATACTGCAGTAACTGTAGAACACACCATGCATAGAACATACTGCAGTAACTGTAGAACACACCATGCATAGAACATACTGCAGTAACTGTAGAACACACCACACATAGAACACACTGCAGTAACTGTAGAACACACCAGACATAGAACATACTGCAGTAACTGTAGAACACACTACACATAGAACATACTGCAGTAACTGTAGAACACACCACACATAGAACACACTGCAGTAACTGTAGAACACACCACACATAGAACATACTGCAGTAACTGTAGAACACACCACACATAGAACATACTGCAGTAACTGTAGAACACACCACACATAGAACATACTGCAGTAACTGTAGAACACACCACACATAGAACATACTGCAGTAACTGTAGAACACACCACACATAGAACATACTGCAGTAACTGTAGAACACACCACACATAGAACATACTGCAGTAACTGTAGAACACACCACATATAGAACATACTGCAGTAACTGTAGAACACACCACACATAGAACATACTGCAGTAACTGTAGAACACACCACACATAGAACATACTGCAGTAACTGTAGAACACACCACACATAGAACATACTGCAGTAACTGTAGAACACACCACACATAGAACATACTGCAGTAACTGTAGAACACACCACACATAGAACACACTGCAGTAACTGTAGAACACACCATGCATAGAACATACTGCAGTAACTGTAGAACACACCACACATAGAACATACTGCAGTAACTGTAGAACACACCACACATAGAACATACTGCAGTAACTGTAGAACACACCACACATAGAACATACTGCAGTAACTGTAGAACACACCACACATAGAACATACTGCAGTAACTGTAGAACACACCACACATAGAACATACTGCAGTAACTGTAGAACACACCACACATAGAACATACTGCAGTAACTGTAGAACACACCACACATAGAACATACTGCAGTAACTGTAGAACACACCACACATAGAACATACTGCAGTAACTGTAGAACACACCACACACATAGAACATACTGCAGTAACTGTAGAACACACCACACATAGAACATACTGCAGTAACTGTAGAACACACCACACATAGAACATACTGCAGTAACTGTAGAACACACCACCACATAGAACATACATGCTGCAGTAACTGTAGAACACACCACACATAGAACATACTGCAGTAACTGTAGAACACACCACACATAGAACATACTGCAGTAACTGTAGAACACACCACACATAGAACATACTGCAGTAACTGTAGAACACACCATGCATAGAACATACTGCAGTAACTGTAGAACACACCACACATAGAACATACTGCAGTAACTGTAGAACACACCATGCATAGAACATACTGCAGTAACTGTAGAACACACCATGCATAGAACATACTGCAGTAACTGTAGAACACACCACACATAGAACATACTGCAGTAACTGTAGAACACACCACATAGATAGAACATACTGCAGTAACTGTAGAACACACCACACATAGAACATACTGCAGTAACTGTAGAACACACCATGCATAGAACATACTGCAGTAACTGTAGAACACACCACACATAGAACATACTGCAGTAACTGTAGAACACACCACACATAGAACATACTGCAGTAACTGTAGAACACACCACACATAGAACATACTGCAGTAACTGTAGAACACACCACACATAGAACATACTGCAGTAACTGTAGAACACACCACACATAGAACATACTGCAGTAACTGTAGAACACACCACACATAGAACATACTGCAGTAACTGTAGAACACACCACGCATAGAACATACTGCAGTAACTGTAGAACACACCACACATAGAACATACTGCAGTAACTGTAGAACACACCACACATAGAACATACTGCAGTAACTGTAGAACACACCACACATAGAACATACTGCAGTAACTGTAGAACACACCACACATAGAACATACTGCAGTAACTGTAGAACACACCACACATAGAACACACTGCAGCAACTGTAGAACACACCACACATAGAACATACTGCAGTAACTGTAGAACACACCACACATAGAACATACTGCAGTAACTGTAGAACACACCACACATAGAACATACTGCAGTAACTGTAGAACACACCACACATAGAACATACTGCAGTAACTGTAGAACACACCACACATAGAACATACTGCAGTAACAGTAGAACACACCACACATAGAACATACTGCAGTAACTGTAGAACACACCACACATAGAACATACTGCAGTAACTGTAGAACACACCACACATAGAACATACTGCAGTAACTGTAGAACACACCACACATAGAACATACTGCAGTAACTGTAGAACACACCACACATAGAACATACTGCAGTAACTGTAGAACACACCACACATAGAACATACTGCAGTAACTGTAGAACACACCACACATAGAACATACTGCAGTAACTGTAGAACACACCACACATAGAACATACTGCAGTAACTGTAGAACACACCACACATAGAACATACTGCAGTAACTGTAGAACACACCACACATAGAACATACTGCAGTAACTGTAGAACACACCACACATAGAACATACTGCAGTAACTGTAGAACACACCACTAGCACATAGAACATACTGCAGTAACTGTAGAACACACCACACATAGAACATACTGCAGTAACTGTAGAACACACCACACATAGAACATACTGCAGTAACTGTAGAACACACCACACATAGAACATACTGCAGTAACTGTAGAACACACCACACATAGAACATACTGCAGTAACTGTAGAACACACCACACATAGAACATACTGCAGTAACTGTAGAACACACCACACATAGAACATACTGCAGTAACACTGTAGAACACACCACACATAGAACATACTGCAGTAACTGTAGAACACACCACACATAGAACATACTGCAGTAACTGTAGAACACACCACACATAGAACATACTGCAGTAACTGTAGAACACACCACACATAGAACATACTGCAGTAACTGTAGAACACACCACACATAGAACATACTGCAGTAACTGTAGAACACACCACACATAGAACATACTGCAGTAACTGTAGAACACACCATGCATAGAACATACTGCAGTAACTGTAGAACACACCACACATAGAACATACTGCAGTAACTGTAGAACACACCACACATAGAACATACTGCAGTAACTGTAGAACACACCACACATAGAACATACTGCAGT